CGAATGAATCAATGCTCTTGGCCAAGTTTGTGTTGACAAGGACACCAACGCCTCCAACACCTCTTTTATCGCATGTTCCGAGGAACAATTCTCCAGTGTCGAAAACGGCATGGTGAGATTCGTGCCTTCTTCTCTCGGTCAGACCAATGATGTCGTACTTGATCATTCGCGCTTGTACCATCAGGTCCTCGATGGATGCATCTGATGCTAGCGTACGTGCATTGAAAGTACAGACGATCATTTTTGTCTTCCTTCGTTGTGGCAGCCTAGGTCGGCCTTGAGATTTTGTCGGCCTCTCCTTTCTCATCCTTCTCAGTGCTGCCATGTCGGTGAAGCCTTCAGGGTCAGGTGAATGAGACCAGTTGTAGTTACTGGTTTTGGCATATCGAATACACAACGGATAGCTTGCCAGGCTCTTCCGTGTGGGCGGAATACTCTCAGTAGCTTGCCAGTCATTCCGAGAGGGATAGAGGCTTTTGGGGCGACCTCTAATCACCCTTGTAGGTGTTACCATATTTGAACCCTATCAAATACGGTACGACAATTCTGGAAGATGGGTATTTAGTGTTTTATGATGTGTCGTGCAGCCGCGAAGCGGCCTCGCGGGTCCGGAAAGCGTCCTGGAGTGTGGCGATGGTTGGGTAGTGGAAGTAGTGTCGAGAGTGGAAGTCAGCCAGTGGGGTATTTATCTGGGTAAGGTGGGTCTCCTGTGCGCAATTCGATCCCTGGGTGGTTGATGGAAGCAGACAGGGCAGGGTAGGGTGGGGCTCCTGATTAGAATCCCTTTGTCACCTGTGGTAGTGGGAGCAAGCAGAGAAGCTCTGTCCCTGGGTCCGCTGAGACTGGAGTCCAAGGTCTCAGAGAGTTCCGCTTATCTTGTTCTGTGGGTCTTCAGTCGTGCGTGGGTCTTGGCCGGAGCTGCCATGTGGGTCCGGAAAGCGTCCTGGAGTTCCGTGCAAGGTTCCGTCCCAGTGGAAAACCAGCAGGACCGTACTACTGTTCAAGAAGGGAGACATCCATGACATTGGCAACTATCGCCCGATCTGCCTATTGTCTGTCATCTACAAGTTGTTCACGAGTCATCCTAAATAGGATTGGTAGAACACTAGATGAAGGACAACCATGCGAGCAAGCCGGGTTCTGCAAAGGATTCAGCACCATCGACCATATCCACACGATAACCAAGCTCATTGAGGTTTCTTGGGAGTTCAAGATGCCGCTCTGTTTAATGTTCATTGATTTAAAGAAGGCCTTTGAATCTGTTGAGATGGAAGCGGTCATTGAAGCCCTAGCCAATCAGGGCATTCAAGCCCAATACATCAGGATCCTCCGTGAGCTGTATTGCGGATTCACTACCAGGATCTCACCATTCTACAAAGAAGTGATCGTTGATGTCAAGAGAGGGGTGCGGCAGGGTGATACCACTTCACCGAAACTTTTCATGCCGAAACCCTCGAGAACATCATGCGACGACTGGAATGGGAAGGAATGGAGTGAAGATAGATGGTCGGCAACTACACCACCTCCGCTTTGCTGATGACATTATTTTAATAACACCAAACATCAGCCAAGCGGCACAAATGCTGGCCGACTTTGACCGTGAGTGTGGAAAGGTAGGACTACAGCTGAATCTTACGAAGACAATGTTTATGAGAAACAGCCTTGTTCCTGATGCCCCATTCGCTCTCAATGGAACGACCATCTCCGAATGCAACAGCTATGTGTACCTAGGTCGAGAGGTCAACATGACAAATGACCTGACACCCGAGCTGCACAGGAGGAAGAGAGCGGCTTGGAACGCCTTCAAGAACGAAGGACGAAGAACCTCCGGCTCCGGGCACATCTCTTTGATTCCACTGTTCTTCCTGCATTAACATATGCCTCAGAGACCTGGGCCCTACGCAAACAGGATGAGAACGCCATTCAGGTCTCCCAAAGAAGAATAGAAAGAGCTATGCTTGGAATATCACGTTTCACTCAAATGAGAGAAAGAATCCGGAGTTCTGACATCCGTCGACGATCAAGAATCAGGGAGGCTGTCTCATTTGCCAAGTTGTCGAAAATCAGATGGGCTGGTCACGTAGTGAGATTTAAAGACGACCGCTGGACTAGAGCTGTTACCGACTGGATTCCACGGGATGTCAAAAGACCGCGTGGCCGCCCACCTACCAGATGGTCAGACTTCTTTGTCAAGATCATGAACGATCGGTTTGAGGCCCTTCATGTTCCCGGAGCGAACAGATGCCATTGGGCTACACTAGCACGCGACAGGGACAAATGGAGATGTTACTGGCGCCCGCTTGAGCAAATCGACGACTAACGGGAAGTTAAGTGATTTAAGTGATTTTACCCCCTATGGTCTCCTGGCGCTACTCAGGGTCCAGTTCCTGGACTGTGCTCAGGCATCACTCCTGGCTGTGCTTGGGGGATCATATGGGATGCTGAGGATTGAACCTGGGTCGGCTGTGTACAATACACGCACTTTAACCCCAGTACTGTCTCTCTGGCCCTGACATGAGAAGTTCCAAATACATTTATAAAAGCATGAAATAAACATACTTGTCAGGAATGTTTCACATGTGCGCTAACACAGTGTCCCACCTGCTACCACTGTTAAAAAGTATGAGAACCGACTGCTACCTGCCAACAAATAATCCCAACAACAACTGGCAGCTGGAGAAAGAATTTCATAGCTGTAATTCACAATACAAATTATGTTTATGGTTAGTATAAATTTTACTCATTAAAATCCCTCAAGAGGGCTGGAGTGATAATACAGTGGGGTAGCGTGCTTACCTTGCATGCAGCTGACCTAGGTTCAATCCCTGGCATCCCATAAGGTCCCTCGAGCACTGCTGGGAGTAACTCCTGAGTGACCAGCAGAGCCAGGGGTGACCCCTGAGCACTGCGTGTGGCTCAAAAACAAAACAAAAAGGATCCCTCAAGAAATCTTATTCCTAGTGATAGAAATGAAGTAACCTGCAGGTAACTTATTGGGAAGAAGAGAGGTGGCGGATTCGAGGAGGACGTCTCAGCTGCTGCCCACAGCAGGAGCCAGACTGTACCTGCATCTGCCCAGAGGGGGTTCCCCATCTGCGGTTCTGTCCAGAGGGGTTAAAGCTGCAGTGAGAATTGCTCTCTGCCGGAAAGGAACGGCATCCCTAATTCCTACCCTGGGGTCCCAGAAATGCCGCCTTCGCCCCGCAGAAAAGAATTTCAGAAGATGAATAGTGAAGTAAAACGTTTAGAGATTCTGAGGGAGGAAAGAGAGAACTGTTCATGGCCTCCGCCTGGGCTTCCTATGGACAGCAGAGGCCCAGGGCATTGTCATAAAGAGCTTTGGACCCCTGGACCCTCCTTTGCGCTCTTCTCTCAGCCTTTAGTTCCTGCTGAAGTTCCTCACCTGTGAGGGTCCAGGCTTCTCAGGCTTCAGCTGGAGTTGAACTTACCAGCCTCATTTTCTCTGTCTACAATGTTGTGGCCTTTTGGCTACTGCAGGGCTAGTGGCAGCGGAATTTCTTAAATCACATCCCGAGAACTCATTCCCAGGCCTTATGCCCCATGCCCTCTCCACCGATCTCCTGCCTACTTCAGAATAAAAGGAATCAAAACATAAAGGAATATAAAGCTTATATAAATAAGCTTTAGATAGAAATTTTCAGATATTAATGAGGATTCTTTGGAGAAAAGCAAGGTAACCTACATTTTTTTATCACACTGAACTGGGGGAATTGTGTGTGTGTCATATAAGAACTACAAGTGCCTCCCACAGAGGCAGGCTGGGGGCGGGTGGGGGGGGGGCGCGGAGTAGCAGGAGGGATACGGGGGATAATGGTGGTGGGAAATGTACACTGATGGAGGGATAGGTCATAAGTCAGTTTGATGTTTAGGAAAATTAGCTCTCAAATGGATGTGAACACCAATCAATAAAAATCAAAAACACCTATAAATTGAGATATTGTGTCAGTCACACATCAGTTTCATATACTTTGCTTTCTAAAAAAATTTAAATCCCTGGCTTGTTTTTATAAAATTATGATTTCCAATTAGTTTCTCATTACTCTGCAAACTTAGTTCTTATTAAGTATTAAAACGCATATGATATTTATGTGGTGAATTTGTGAGTTTTTATTTTTTTTAGCTATACCCAGCAATGTTCAGGGCTTACTCCTAGCTCTGCACTCAGGAATCACTTCTGGTGGTGCTTGGGGGGACATGTTAGATACCAGGGATCGAGGCTGGGATGGCTGCATGCAAGGCTGGCACACTCCCTATTATACTACTGCTCCGAACCCAAACTTGGGATTTTTAAGAACACACTAAGTTTCAATGATTAATGTCTGTCTTCTTCTTATTTTTTGCTCTATATTGTCTTATTTTTAAACAGCATAATAAGATTCAATTGAAATTGAAATATAATGTGTATCTTGCTAGCTGATGCCTTAAAAAAGCAAACACCTAGGTAGATTCACAAATAAAATCATAAATAAAACATATATTCATTAACCTGAAAACATACTCATATTACTAAAGTTCAAAGCAAATGAGAATTTAAAAAACGTCCTTTAAATCCTTTAACTCCTCTGGAATGTATTAAAATTGCAGCAATAGAATCTTTTTTTATGTAAACGTAAACTAAAATACAGGTGCTTCCTTATACACTCAAGTGCATTTTAATTAATATGTATTCCCACTTCCTTTGGTTTGGATAAAGTGCTTTAAAATGGAGTAAAGGGGCTGAGGGGCCAGCTTGGAGGCAGACACGAGGCTGGAGGTCTGACCCCTGGCACTGCCCACATGCTGAGTGGGACCCAGGGCACTGCTCTCGGTCCGGGGTTCCTAGTGAACACACAGCCACCAGAGAGTGGGTGAGCATCACGACTCAGTGTGTGACCGAGGTGACCGAGTGCTCAGCCCGAGACTACTACACCGAGGGGAGGAAGAGAAAGAAAATTTGTAAGAGCAAAATGGAAATAAGTATAGCCGAACACAAAACGAAAGCAAGTATTCAAAAACATTTTATTTATCATAGATCAACATTTTTTGACATGAAAGGAAGCCACTTTCAATTTCTCAGGAATGCCTAGAATCCAACAGTTCTCGGAAGGACTGGAGAGATTACAATGATTTTGCTGCGGGTGAAAGACATAATTTCAGAATGGGCTTTTCAAGTGGCTTTGCTAGGGCAACTTATTTGATAAGCCTGTGTGGCAAACTAGCTTTCCCGGGAAGTGGAATCCAACTATGCTTGAAGAATATCAAACCAGTCTGTACAACAAATATGAGAAGTACTATGTGTATCAACTGTGCTCAAATGAGAATTCTCTTATCAAAATATTAATTTTTTAAAAACCCCTCAAACAGTCACCCCCCCATCTCTGACCAGTACCTCTCTTTCCTACTTCAAGTCATACCACTGTACAAACAACTACCAAATTCCCGGGGAACTGTACAATGACTTTATGCTCTGTAATAAATACCCAACGCAAGAACCCTCGCTAACTTTAAGGAACAGGGTGATAACTAACCAGTAATAAGTTAGCCACTGTCATTTGAAGTTTTGAGGGAAAAAGCAGCCTGCAAATGTCCTTAACTTTTCAGTACTTCTCTGTAACACACAGAATGAAAAGATAATCTTTTGAAATTTAAATCACTTGGAAAATATCTTAAAAAAAATAGCATACACAGACAAGCATTACGTTTAAGATTTAAACTGTATTTTCTTTTATAATTCAACTTGGGAAAAAATTTTACAGTTATTATCATGTCTTACTTTTATTTTCTAAATATTTAAATCTACTACATACCAGTTTGTAAAATTCATCTTGGTGACTGACCAGTCCCCTTCACCTATGTGCTATCTTTCCTTGGGTAAATCTATTTGATGTGTGTAAATGCTAGGGAGACTTAAACAGCACTGAAAGAAGATTCGTGAGGGCTTTGAAACGTTGAAAGTTTCATTATTATCTACTTCCTGTAGGATTTGTACTTTGAATTCGGCACAGCACCATGAAGACTGTGCGAATGGAATGCACACAGTTCCTACAGGCACACAAACTGAAGTCCAAAGGCACAGAGTAATGCTGGTGGCTCTTTCTAGTCAGTTAAGAAACAATAAAAAGTCTGCATTATTCTTCATAATTTAAATACTTAAGTAATCTCCACTTTATTACTTTATAACAATGACTTCAAATTTACATTATTTTAAGTACCATTGTAATAGCTTAGTGTATAATACAGATATCTGCCGATATCCCATCCAAAAATTAAAAAAAAAAACTTTTCACCATATATATATATATGTATACATATAAAAAATTATCCTGAAAGACAAGAACACAGAAGAGGGACTTGGAGTATCGACTGCCATTAATATTTTTATCATCACAGTTACAACTCCAAAATAAACAGATACATAGCAATAATCAAAAGCAGTGCAAACATCTTTGGAGGTTAGGAGAAACTTATAATGCAAGAACATAAAACAAATAACAAAGGCAAGTACTTCAAGTACAAGGAAGCGGCCTGCTCGAGGTCCACCTTAGTGTTCGCTGGGGTCTCTTCCTCCTCTACTTCTTCCTCTGAAACACATTGGCCAACATGGCACCTGAAGTTGTTAACTGGCCCATTTTGTTCAGAAACTTGGTCTTTGTGTCTTCACTCACTAAGCTTGCAGCAATCGACATTGAGCTGGGGGGGAGGGGAGGGAAGAAACATTCCAATCATGTAAAACTATTCAGATACCCACTGTTCCATTTCAGTTTTAGTAAAATGCTAGCAGTTAGGTTCTGAACTGGCAGCACGTATTTATGGAGAAGTATTTTTTTTTTTTTTTGCATTTCGGGTCACACCTGGTGATGCACAAGGGTTATTCCTGGCTTTGTACTCGGGAATTACTCCTGGCGGTGCTCAGGGGACGATATGGAATTCCGGGGATTGAACCCGGGTTATCTGTATGCAAGGAAAATGCCCTACCCGCTGTGCTATCGCTCCAGTCCCTATGGAGAAATTTTGTGGACGCTACTCAGGGGCCTCCGTGGCTAGCCCCTGCAGTAAGGAAAGCAGGTGGATAAGAGTTAGAAGCAGGTCTGAGGAAGGCCCAACTGTGGCTCTATCATTTAGCTACAAATGACTCTGGCAAAATTATATAATGTGTTTCCATGTTTGTCAAGTGGAGACAATTCTATTACCCACCTCACTGGGCTACCAAAGTTGATTATATGAGTATAAAGAAAGTGTCATTATCAGTGGCGTCAGACAGGTAAGAACATGCGATGTCAAATGAGGCCTATAAGTAGCATTTATTCATTTATTTATTTCTCGTTTGGGCCACACCCAGTCATGTTCAGAGCTTCCTCTCGGCTCTGTGCTTGGGGATCACTCCTGGCGGTGCTGGGGGACCGTAAGTGGTGCCAGCCATCAAACCCCAGCCCCCTGCGTGCAAGGCCAGGGCCCTGTCTGCTGTTCTATCTCTCTGGCTCCCTCCCTTCATTCTTAGAGCACCCTGGAAGTTAGAAATGATCCCTATTTCAACGCTAAGTAAGCGAGGTCTTATCCTGTGCTGGAAACAGTTCTATACAATGCTACTTTATGGAGGCGGTGGGCCCTGTTCTCAGTGCCAATGGGAAGTTTTAGTAAATTTGTCATTTACTTTTGGTTTTTGGGTGACACCCTGTGGTGCTTACTCCTGGCTCTGGGATCCTTACTCCTGGGATCACCTGTGCTCTGGGGACCAGATGCAGCCTGGGGACTAACCCTGCGTTGGCCGCCTGCAAGGCAGTGCCCCTCCTTGCTGTACTCTCTGGACCCAGGAACACATTTTTCTGAGTCCATTTCCTCATCTGAAAAATGCAGACTAATTACTATTGCAGAACTTTTCATATTTACTTTTTTGGTTTTTGGGGCCACACTGGGTGTTGTTCAGGGCTCACTCCTGGATCTATACTCAGGAATCACTCCTGATGCTGCTCAGGGCACCATATGGGGTGCTGGGATCGATCCCAGGTCGACTGCGTGCAGGGCAACGGCCCTACATGCTGAACTAGCTCTTTGGCCCCAACTTTGCATATTTGAAATAAGCCACCATATAATTTTTGTTTTGGGGCCATACCCAGTGACTCAAGGAGCAGCCAGGGTGCGGCTCACTGGACCACATGTGGGCCGGCGGCATGAAAGGGAAGCGCCTTAACCCCAGGCTCTCACTGGCCCCATCACTTAGACATTTTAAATGATGACAAATGACCTGAAGTACTTACTTTGGTGTTAATTTGATAGATTGTGTGTTCAGAATGGAAGCCTCTCCCTGAAATATATGTGCAGAGATATCTGACATCTGGCCCACATCCCGGGGTGCTTAAGGGTTAGTCTTGGCGGTGCTCCGGGGACCACATGCAGGACTGAACTGGGTCAACTGCACGCAACCCCTCTACGATCTTTCCAGCGACTCAAGATACTTTTATTGTAAGTTGTCACGACCACTCTAGGAGGCGAGAGAGGGGCTTCTGCTGCGTGGTCAGGGACAAGTGCTGGCTGTGGTGGAGTGAGTGTGTATGGACGTGAGTCCCAAGGCTGACGGGTCAAAGGTCCTTTCATGCTCATCACCTTATGACAGAAACACCTTTGAACCATTTTTGCCCAGCAGGCCTCATTTAAGATCAAATGTCCAAGTTTACTTTGGCCACAGAACAACCGGTCTACTTGAAAAGTACTTCTCTGGGGCCGAAGTGATAGGACAGCGGGGAGGGTATTGCCTTGTGTGTGGCTGGTTCAATTCCCGGCATCCCATAGGGTCCCCTGAGCACCCCCAAGAGTGATTCCCGAGTGCAGAGCCAGGAGGAACCTCGGAGCATTGCCGGGTGTGACCCAAAAAGCCCCCCTCTTCCCCCCCCCCAAAATTACTTCCTCTACTGAATGTTCAATACCCTTTTACATCTAAGTTTGTATTTAATTTCACAGAATCTCTGAATTCTAACTGGTTTGATTAGAAGCTTGTGATTAGAACATAGAAAAATGTAAAATCCTCTGCAAGAGAAACAACTCCTGTCACAAATGAAACTATTTTAACCAAAGCAGTTATTTTGTTTAACCCAAATAGGGACCCCCAACATTGGCTACACATCAGAATCGCTCTGGAAGCTTCTAAACGTGCAACTGCTGAGAGGAATGCACACAGCATGAAGGCAGAGATTTAAATTTCATATTTCCCAGGTAATTTTGGTGCAGATGCCTATGGACTAGCTTCAGAGAACTCCAAATGTAAACAATTTTTTTCTCTCCCAAGAAATTGTTATTATACAAAGCTATAATAATCTATGTAAAGTTTGAACAGAGAAATTAAAGTGAACATGACAGCCTTAAAAACAACAAAGGATGAAAACCTTACCCTTGTGGCTCCTGGACAGTCTTGTTCTCTATTTTTTGTTCACATTCTTTGATCATGGAACTTAAAATAACCTGATGTAAAAAGCATGATTTTAGTGAAAGGCAATTTGCACTGTGAAATAAGGTTACACATAAAGCTTTGCATTTAATTTTCAATATTTCCATCAACGAACATGGCAGTTAAAAATGCAAAGTTTGGCAGTTACTTTGTTGAAAGAATTTATAATAAATAGTTATACTAGTCACAGAAATAGCTTCAAAAGATCCAAAATATTTTGCATTTTCCTATTAACCTGTCTAAATCTGATTTCCATTCTTTAGCTTCTCCCAGTAATCTTTCAAGTTAAATGTATATACATTTGTATATTTATCTCATGCACATATCACCATGGTCACAGAGATACTTTTCCAATGAAAGTGATACTGTTCCATGTCTCTTTACTTTCTCCAGGTTACAAAATGCAAGACGGTCTAAGGTCGATTTTAATTCCTACAGCAGAGAGCAGGTATAGGCCCATGTCCTTTAAAATATAATTCGAGTTGGAAAACATCCTTCTTGCAGGAAGAATTTGTAAGTGATGGACAGGGTGGATGGATCTAAACCACTGCTCCTATTGTTGGTAATTGCCCCCAAGATGGAACGACTCTTGAATATTCTTGGCGCGTACAGCGGGCATGGAGGTCACTGAACAGCAGTGCCAACTGCCACCCCTAATGTGGCGGGCTGCCCCCACCTCAACAGAGTGAATACAGTAAAACGAACAAACATGCTATGCCCCTTGAAGAATTTACATTCTAGTAAAGAAGACAGACGGTAAGAGTAACATGGGGCTGTGGCAAGAACATTCAGTGAGGGAAGTGGTGCTGGAAAGCCAAGGTCAAGAAGACTGTAGGGGGGGCTGGAGCGACAGTACAGCGGGTAGGGCCTTTGCCTTACACGAGGCCAACCCGGGTTTGATTCCCAGCATCCCATATGGTCCCCTGAGCACCGCCAGGAGTTAACTCCTGAGTGCAGAGCCACGACTCTGTGCATCACCGAGTGTGACCCAAAAAGCAAAAAAAAAAAAAAAAAAAAAAAACAAAAAAACAAACCCAAAAAAACAAAAACAAAACCAAAAAAAAGACTGCAGGGTCATGGCCAGAGTAGGCTTCCCGAGGAAGAGGACACATCGCAAAGGAGCAAGAGCAAGGCCCCGAAGGCAGCAGCGCACCTGTGGGGTTTTCACATAAGCTCAGAGAGCTCAGAGTGGCGGGCACAGGGCGAGGCAGAGGTGAGCACTGAGGCACAGACACGGGGTTGGGAGAGGTCCCATCGCACCCTGCAGATTATGGAAAGGGTTTGGGTATTATTCCGAGAAGGGCCCTTTTGCCCGGTGCATCTTGTTAAAAGAATTACAAGATCTTTAATTAAAAGATTTAACGGATCTACTGGATTAACCGATTTTGGGGAATATTTTCTCTTGTTTGGCTTGGCATTTAACACATTATATACTTTGTTTGGCTACCTTTGGCTTTTCAATTTTCAGTAATTTTCTTCTGCTACTTGCTGGTTTCCTCAAGCATCTCCTTGCCTTACATGTGGCTGACTCAGGTTCAATCCCTGGCACCACCTATGGTCCCCTGAGCCAGAAGCACTGGCGTCCCGTTGTTCATCTATTTGTTCGAGTGGGCACCAGTAACGTCTCCATTGTGAGACTTGCTGTTACTGTTTTTTGGCATATCAAATATGCCATGGGGAGCTTGCCAGGCTTTGCTTTGCCAGCAGCTTGCTGGGCTCTCCAAGAGGAACCCCGAGACAGTGAAATTCAAAAATCAGGAAATAGCAAATGAAGCCACAGTGGGATGCAATATCCACCAAATTCAAGTCTAAGGCAAAGGTTCAGAACATCGCATGCTGACTAGGTTATGCAGCAAGGATACACAACCCTTCTGGTCTGCAAAGCGCCCCTTCCACCTGCACTCTGATCACCAATGACTCCAGAGTTAGCAGTTTCTCCGGATCAGTGTGATGGCAGTGATGTGCTAGCAAAGAGTTTGAAAGCTCAGAAGGTGAGTGGAATAAATGAGGAAAAGAGATTTGGGAGAAGGCTAACGGGAATTTTTTGTTTTGTCTCATTTACCAAGCATAATAACACCTTAAAGAAAAGCTGGTTTTAAAAAAAAATAGGCATCAGATGTAGAGTAGGAAATACACAACTTTAGGATTTTGAAGAAAACACAAAGTTATGGGGAGAGAGAGAGAGCAAACAGAAACTTTGCTCTAATAAATTTGCAGGTCAGAGTATAGCAAAACTCTGTATAGCATTTTGTAGATTACCAAGTATTTCTTGGCCAGGAAGACAGATCAAAGGGCTGGAGCATATGATTTGTATGCGGGAGCTCCAGATTCACCTCACGGTCTCCTGGGCACCACTGGAGCACAGCACTAGGTGAAGCCCCGGAATACCCCAAGTGTGGCCCCCAAACACAGCAAGCAAAAGTATTTCATCTATTCCACACACGTTATCTAAGTAAATTCTAAATCAATTCAGGACAGGAGAGAACATTATTCCCAATGTAGAGAATTAAGGCAGAGCAAAGATGTTAAGGAGTTGCTAAGCTTGACCATCACCATTTACTTGGAGATTTAAAAAACTACACACAGCTTATCACTCCTGAGCCTCCTGCATAAAGGAATCAAGGCTGCAGAGGACATGGCAGGTACGGACACAGCACACTGATCATCACGGTGCCTTACCTCATGCTCCGGAGAGAGATGTTCCATATCAGTGCGTAAACATCTGAGACCAGGTAAAAAGTGATTAACCATTAAATCCTCTGAGATGACTTGTGACGGGCAATTAAGGGAATTAAAGCAAACCGACTAATGTGTCCGAATGAATAATGGATAGAATAAAAGGAAAGAAAATTTCTGAAGGGGGCGGGAGAGAGAGTACAGAGAGGGTAGGGTGTTCACCTTCATGCATCTTACCCGGTTCAATCCCTGGCACCTCATATGGTCCCGAGCACTCTGGATAAAATAATCCCAAGTACAAAGCCAGGAGCAAGCCTTAAGTACTGCTGGGTGTGGCCCCCAAACAACAAATCCTAAATGCAAGCTCACTGCTTAGAAAAAAACAGGCCTCCTTTCAGCCTGCCTCTCATGTGCTGACAGAGCTACCTTGAAGTCATTTATAATAAAAACTATTAAAAAATGAGCAATCAAGCATATTCATTCCAGTATCCTTTTAACATAAAATTTTATATAGAGCGTTTATTATTGAAATATTATATGATTTAATGATATATTACACAAACATGAAATTATGTGTACAATTAAGTACATAACTTCAGTGAATGTATAAATGAGCATGCCCCCTCCTCATAAGAGAATTGATGTTTCCATGACAACTGACTTGGCTGTTTTAGGAAAGATTTGACAAAAGCCAATTGCTTATAACTGGTAAGTTATGGATGTAAAAGGCCATTGTAAAAAAAAAATGGAAAAATTTGATGTCTAGCATAAGAAATGTTTCTGAATCTTCTTCACAGTTAATGAATTAAACTTAGGGGCTGGAGCATTGTACTATCACTGTGGCCCCAATGATGTGGTTTTATTAGTAGCCATACTACCCTACTAATAAAATTCAACCTGTTATGCTTACCACACAAACATTTTCAGTAAATGAACAGCATGTATTGCTTAGATGGCGCTTTCCTTTAACTGAATTGGGTACAATTCCTTGCTCTACAGGATTATACAGAACTTCTTACTTCTGCTTTTAAACACCTACTTTAACAAAGTCTAGGGAATAGGTGCAAACATTTCAATAAAAATCTCCCTCTCTTTCTCTATATATGTGTGTATATATATATATATATATATATATATTTGGAAATAAAACTCGACATGCCATTATTTCTTTCACATAAGGGTCCTGTCACTTCTCCATTACAAAGAGTTCTTCCTTGCTAATTCAAAGTACACTTCCTCTTTTTGCTTCCTCTATGTTCTCCAAGTTTCAAATGCTAACAAGATAAATCAGGAATGACAATAAGTTCTGCTTTTCACAGAACCAAGCACATGAAGATATATGTACTTATATCTTCATATGGATGAGGCATAAAATAATCAAATAGCTCCATCCACTTTATAAAATATGATTTATATTATCCACAAGAATAGGTGACCTGTAACAAATTCCCCAAATAAAACGGTCAACTATGCATATAATTTTGTTTTAAAGCTCCCAAAAGGTAAGTAGCTCCTTAACAAATGAATTTTACCTTTCTATTTTCTTGATTTGATTATTTGAAAACAAGTATCTCTCATCAGTATATTTCCTGCAATAACACTGTCAATGAGTATCAGTGGTTTTTTTTTTTTGCTTTCTGGGTCACACCTCGAGATGCTCAGGTTACTTCTGGCTCCGCTATCGGGAATTACTCTTGGGGGTGCTTGGGGGACCATATGGGATGCTGGGGATCAAGCTGGGTCGGCAGTGAGCAAGGCCAATGACTTCCCTGCTATAGTATCGCTCCCGCCCTGTATCAGTGCTATTCTGGAGCATTTTTTTTTTAAATTAAAAACTGGGAGCAACTGCATATAGGCACTTTTCTTCTATGTGGCCTTTCCAGGTTTGATCCTTGGCACTGCACATGGTCCCTTGAGCACTGCCAGGAGTGACGCATGATCCCTTAGCACAGAACTAGGAGTAAACTTTGAGCACCTTCAGAGTGTGGCCACAAAACATTGCTGCGCCCTCCCTCCCCCACCAACCCCCCCCATGGCCCATCCACTTTTTGCATTAGTTCAAACTGATGTCTGTATCTGTATCTGTATTTGTGGTGAAACACTAAATTCTACAACTTTTTGTTTTTTGGGGGGGCCATACCCAGTGGTGCTTCTGGGCTACTCACTGCTCCGACGTTTGCTCCCTCTGGTTCTCGGGGGGCCTTGTGGTGCTGGGCCTGGACTAGGCGTTCCCCCAGGCACAGCATGAACTCAGCCCGCTGAGCTACTTTTCTGGGCCCAGATGGTAACTCGCAATCCTGCTTTCTCTGATGAGTCACTAGGAGCAGCTCTTTGCGGCCATCTCCCCTGCCATAGTCTTAGGCCTGTGGGTATTTTACAGAAGCCTGTTGGATTATTCAGTCCTGCCTTCCGTGCTCTATCTCCTCTCCTCACCTCCTCCTGCCTTTTGACGGGAGAGCCTCGAGTGGGGGTCCACTCTGCTCCTCTTAATCTGAGTTTCACCTTAGGAACAGGGAAAAAGAACACTGAATGAGACAGCTAAAGATTATTATTCTACTTAGTGTCTCTCACAGGAGAAGTCACTAATGTGGTCAAGCTTTTTTTAACCATTTACAGAAAGGAGTGGGGCACACGGGGTAAGTGACCTCAGTGTTCTCTCACCACTGCTGCCATCACTGAAGATCATTATTTAGTTATTGCTGGCCAACCCGGTGGTTCTCAGGACTTACTCCTGGTCTGAGCTCAGGGATCACTCCTTGCGGGGCTTGGAGGACCTCTGGGGAGCCGGGCTCAAACCAGCACAATTCCCACTATACTACCTCCAGACTTTGCTGTTCTTTTCTTAGTGAGTGACTCTATGCAACATTTAGAATATTCTATTGGATACAGATGGCTAAACATTCATATTAAAGTATATAAAAAACTTTGTTAACAGAAGCTTTGACTATAAAGTTTTTTTTTTTTTGTCATACCCAGCTGTGCAAGTTACTCCTGGTGGTCCTCGGGGGACCATATGGGATGCGGGGACTGAACCAGGTCAGCCATGTGCAAGGCAAGCACGCTACCCTCTATATTATTGCTCCAGTCACTCAAGTTTTACTAATTATATCTTAAACTATAGACCATTAAAATTATGGTTGCGTTAGAAGTCAAGTCAAAATCAAAATTTCACTTTTCTATAATCTTTATGGTAAGCAGGGTATAGAAACTACACTCATTAAATTCATGAAAAAGTTACCAACTGAGGCTGACAGTAAAATTGGCCATACAGATGTAGAGAAATCTTAATAAAGCAAGGATACAACAACAGGAGAGAGCACTGTAGGCTTCAAACAAGTGGGTAGCGATATCCAGTCTTTTAGAATCCACAACCTGTAGATTGTTCACCAAGGCTAACTTATGCAAATGTGGAATAACAACTGAAAAAAAGAAAAGACATTCCCAGTTTATTAAAGTCATGCACTCACAACACTCATAATGAAAACTATCGACCTCTAGCATTATTTTTACAAATAAATGTCTACAGGCAAAGCATAAATATTCACATTAAAAAAATACGTAGCACAGATTTTCTTTTCCAATAAATTACTTTACTCCCTCATAAAATTATTGTTTTCATTTCCCAAATCTGTAGTAAAGGCTAATGTCAAACAGCACAGGCAGTTGAGTTTTCAAGTCACTAAGTAGACTTAATACCTTAAATTTTAAAATATATTAACATTTCAAAAATAACAATTTACTGCTGAAATAAAAGCAATGACTGAAGAAACATCAGCCAACTCAGTAGCAGAGTGCCAAATTCTGCGCTTCCCAGAGGCACACTAGCCGAATCTGGCAAACAAAACCCAAGTCTCTGTTGGTTTCCTGCTCAAAGGTCAATTAATTTATACTCTAATCCAGTAGTTGACATTGCCTTATCTCAACAAAATGATGATTCTAGGATTCAAAAATCGTCCCGAGATTTTCTAGTTTGCGGCGGCCCCGAGCTCTTGAACCTTCCCGTCTACGCTCTTTTTCCATCCATCCATGGCCTCTTTATTCCTTCTGCGATGTCTCTGTACTCAATTTTTTCTCAATGTCAACATAATTGCTATTAAAGGTAGCTATCTATTTTGTAAATAGAATTTTCAAATAAAACAATTATTTTTGGAAGTTCTTGAAAATTCCAAAGAGATATATATTAAGGTACCATATATGAATTAGAAATAACTACAGTCTCAGACAGGCAAAATACTATACAAATATTACCAAAAAAAGCTGAAGCAGAGCTTGTAAAAATCTGTACAAATGCTGATCAATTCTTCCCAGATCACATTTCCTGACACAGAAAGTTTATTTAATTCATACTTGGGGCGATCACATCGTTTTAACAAAATGGCACACGCAGAAAAACCGATACTCTACTAAGCCTATTCATTGATCCAGGAACTAAAACTTACTCTGTGCTCCTGGTAGCCTCAACAAAATTAAAGCAACTTCACAGTTTTTACTAAGGTCACCGATAAATCGGAAGTTACAGCATACCAAACTAAACTGGTTGCTAAAAAAAAGGAAAAAACTTCCTTGCTGTTCATTATAAAATATTGTCATTCTCGTTTTTTCTTTATTTGACCAGCACTTCACGGCCTTACCCAAAGAAAGTAAAACTAGCTTCAAGATTGTGTTTCTGTAGCTCGATAAAGGGTCTATGCCCACAGCAGACCTCATGAAGACTGCAGTCGAAATCCTGACTTTTTACCCTTTTTGCTTACTCTTGTCTTTTAAGAAAGTGAGGCAATAACTTAGCCAACGAGGAAACCAAACTGACTTAAGAAATCTTGTGGGGCCAGAGCAACAGTACAAGGGGTAGGGCTTTTGCCTTGCACGAGGCCAACCTCAGTTCAATCCCAGGCATCCCATATGGTCCCCCAAGCACTGCCAGGAGTGATTCCTGAGTGCAGAGCCAGGAGTAACACTTGAGCATCGCAGGGTGTGACCCAAATAGAAAAAAAAAAAGAAAGAAAGAAAGAAAGAAATCTTGTGGTCCCCTCCAGAGAATGTCAAATTACTAAGATGGTTACAGTGTAGCACTGATAACTGACAAGTTTCTGCATTAATAATTACTGGATGCTTTGATGCCCCCGGAGAAATTGTCATACAGTTTGAAGTCCATAGTAAAAAAAAAAATACTACAGAAACTATAGGGGCTGGAGCAATAGCACAGCGGGTAGGGCGTTCGCCTTACACGCGGCCAACATGGCCGACCCGAGTTCGATTCCTCCGCCCCTCTCGGAGAGCCTGGCAAGCTACCGAGAGTACTCGATATGCCAGACACAGTAACAACAAAGTCTCCAGTGGAGACGTTACTGGGCCCGCTCGAGCAAATCGACGATCAACGGGAGGGCCTTTACCTTACCTTACAGAAACTATCAAACAAAAAATGCTTTACCAGATCACTTTACCAGATTGATAATAAAATGGCATAGCCGAACTGCATGCTATGTGGTACATTACATATTGATCATGTGATAAAAATTTAAAAAATGTGGTTAAGGGATAAACATTTTCCTAAAAAGATGAAACAGTTCGCTTTAAATATATGACAGCATTGTATTTTGCAGTTATCAGTTAAATGTTTAAGGCAACTTGAAATTTTGAGTTTTCATGCCTCACAGCAGGTAAGCATACGTGAAGAATCTACTCAGTGTTTGTAATGTCCATCAATTCACATCACCAACTTGTTTCACTTTCAACACAAGAAGTGGAGGAAAGCTTTACCATCTGACAAATCCTCAGAGAATCTTTTAGCTTTGACTCTATATTACAATTCAGAAAAAAAAAAAAGCAGTAGCAAAATGCAACTTACATTCATCTCGAAATCTTGGTTCTGCATTAGGCCCAACTCGACCGAATGTTTTTATAATCTCTATGTGCAAAGAATACTGGTCTTGATACTGAGGATCTTCCAGGAAAGAAGCCAACTGCATTTTCACTCTTTCCAGCAACTTGAAATTGAATATTATAAATCATTTTAGAAATATATTAAACATAGCTTGAAGTACTGAATTCAAATGACATTAATACAAGAGCAGAAATTTGGAATTGAACAACTAGACTTTGCTTAAAAAAAGTTTGTATTTTAATGCTTGTTAATTCATTTTCCATTAAAAAATATAAAAATTTCCTGACAGCTAACTGGGTTAGCTGTGACGGATGTATAAACAGTAGAACTCTCTGCCCACCAATACTTAGGAAAAACGTTGTGACTTTATGCTGATTTTGTAGTTAAATTATAATTTTAAAAATATATCACAATGCAATTCATCCAGTTATTTACCTAAAAGAAGCAGTGAGTCATTAATGACTTACATCTTACTCACATTTCCCTAAAAGACATTTTTATTTTAGGATTAAGAACATGTTGAAATTCTGCCAAGACTGCAAGCTTTGCAAAATGATGTACTTTTTTTTTTCTTTAATGTTGCTTCACTAGTGGAATATATAATGAAGAAACAAAGGAATACAAGGGAATACTTTCTATAATGAACAAAGACGTTTAACTTTTATCATAAAAAATTACATGAGAAGGGAATTAGATAAAAAACAAAAACAAAACAACAACTTTTTTGGGAGGTAAAATGTCTATCCAGTGTTTCCATCTGGAAACAAAGGCCTTCGTTTTCCATTTAACTGACTAGGTTATATGTCCACAAATAATTTAGTATCTAATATTCAGGGCACTTCATTTGTATAAGGACATACACAATTTTATAACCAAGAATGAAACTGATACTAATTTAGAGAAGTGGTATAAAGTTGCACATAGAACCTAAAAAACACAAAATGAAGTTTCAGGATCGCAGTATGCTTTGAGGGAAGGAGCCTGACTAATCGCCGGAAGCAGGCTCCTGAGGTGTGCACTGCAGCGGATGAGATGAGACCTCGAGATGCTCGTGGCCTCCCATCAGTAACCTTGAGAGAAGGTTACGGTGCCTTCTCATTCAAACTTGTGAAGCTAGTATGTTGGGATTTCTATGTTGAAGCCAGTATCTCAAGCTCTCGGGCGAAACAGACTTCAGGTCTATACAAATGGGTAATGAGGAATCTGTAGCATCATTAGGTGCTTTTATTAGACGATCCTAAATTATTGGTCGTGTCAGTCCACCGTATAAACAAAAGACTCAGGAAGTAGACCCACTTGGAGGATTTGTAAAAAATGTATCATCAAGTCCAATTTAAAACAGAACTGAGAGTTGACTAACACGGTTTTCTAGTTGAGAAAAAAAGGACGGAGATTCCCTTGGGATATGAAAATATACTTTGGTTAGGCCATTATGTTTCAAATACTGAGATCCTCCTCTGCTTCATACATAAGGTGGAAATTAAATGGAAGCCATGATACCCCTACCCACTACTCCTGGGTACATGTATGTTAGAATGTCATCACCTTGACAACACAGAGACATAAATTCCAATCACGTCCTACCTCTCTTTGAATAACTGTTTCCATAATAGTGCCAAAGGCTGGAATTGTGGCAATCCTGACAGAGCTGTTAGAATTAAAGAAGAAATAAAATGAAACTTTCTGATGATAACCTGATTATGAAAGTGCATATCAAAGTAAGTACAAGGTAAATATACTGTATTAGTCTCTAGCAATGACAAAGTAAATTAAAAAAGCAGACCAAGAAGAATGCTCAAAAAGACAGACAGGATAACTTAAGGCCGCAGTCTGTGAAACTCACAATTCAGGATCACTGGACAAGGTAACAAGGGCCGGAGCAACCCGCTTGTCAACTAACGCTTCACTCATGCCTCGAAGAGTCAGCTGTAAACCAGTCAACATGCAATAAAAAATGGTGTGGTAAACTGGAATGAGAACTGGGTTAGCTGTGACTGAGGATGGGCAGGTAGACTCATTGGCCTGTCTTGGTTTAGTCACCCACACGAGCCATTAAAATGTTAAGCCTTTGGTTCATGACCCTACACACTTTCTGGTAACAACATGTTAGTGAGATTAGCAAAGCATCCCTTCTTGGCTTGGAAGAAATAGTCCATCAGCAAGTTTTAGTTCCTGGAAACGTTTATCGAGGACTAACGCTATGATGCTTCCAACACACGGCCTTTAAGTTAGGCTTCTCGTGAAGAGGTTTATGACTTTAAGAGGTTACATGAGAGTAACGTCAGAGCTAAAACGAAGTGAGCATCATCCAATGCTGTAACTATTTTTCATAAATTTTAAAAGCTGATGGTTATTTCTTGGCCGGCACATTCGGAAAGGATGCTGAGTGTAAAAGGCAGGGCTGACACTTACATTTCAGGGTCACTGGAGAGAGTAATGAGAGCAGGAACAACCCTCTGAGCTACCAGAGTTTCATTCACCCCCTTCACCAACAGCTGATTGGTCAACACAGGGGGGTATTCACAGGCGATGCATGGAAAGAGCAAACAGAAAAAAGGAACAACCAAGAGAAAGAGAGAAAACACAAAAGCAAAACCAAAATTAGAAGCTAAGCAAATACTGCTACTAGAGTGCTTTAAAAGGGCAGAGAATGCTCAGGAGGAAAACAAAGCTCAAACAGCCTAGAACAAAAACAAGAGCAGGTCACCAATTCAATGAGCCTGTACGTTTTGGTCAAACAGTTTGTCATCCCATGGTCAGCTGCAATGTAAAAGAAAGCTTTCCTGGAAATACACTTCCGGAGTAGATCTGGCCTAATCTAGCGTGACCGACCCGGTGCAAACTGGACTGTTTTTAAACAAACTCCGATAGCTACGGGCCACCACTAACTTGCTTCTGATTGTTCTTCAGAAAGCAAATTAGAAAACTCCACACAGGAAAATTCCCCATCTTTTGTATCACCAAGCCTTTCCTTTGTAGAAAATCTAATCCAGCCTTAGGAGGAAGTGTCTGATGTGGGAATCAAGTCTAGGTGCAGACTCCAGCTATGCACTTAGAACTGTGTGGTCCAAGGTAGATACGACACCGTGAAACTCAGTTTCCTCATCTGAAATGATGGACGAAGCATCTACCTTAGAGAAAAGCTATGCTACTAGTTTGCATCTAGTTCACTGAAATGCTGTGTGTGACAGACTAGACACTGAAGAAATGGGAATACAGCAGGCAGGGCATTTGCCTTGTATGCTGTCCGCCTCGGTTCGAGTTCCAGCATCCCATTTGGTTCCTCAAGCACTGCCAGGAGAAATTCCTGAGTGCAGAGCCAGGAGTAACCCCTGAGCATTGCCAGGTGCAGCCCAAAAAATGTAAAAAAGAAAAAAAAATGGGAGTTTACTCTTATGACTATTTCAGAGTTACATGATTTGTGACGCATTAAAAATTAATTAATTTTTGGCTGGACCAAGTGCTGATCATTTACAAGAAGTTCTAATTTGGCCTCTGGCACCACAAAACAAACAAAAAGCAAACATGCCTTCTCAACCCCTGCAAAAAAACAAAGCCCTCCACCGCTATACAAAACTACGCAACACAAGAGATAGTACTGCTTACTTATGTGAAGATTCTGAATTTTGCAATAATCTGTAATCATTTTACAAGTAGTTCTCTTTAGAATTTAGCTTCAGCATTACATAACTGTGACAAATAAGAGGCAATTATGCAGGAAAAGAAGAACTTTCACAATTAACTAAAACATTACTAGTATCAGATAAAAAGAAAACGGCAAAGAAATTTAAATATAAATAAATATAAATAAAAATATAAGTAAAACTTTTTTCTCTGTAGCGTTTTCTACAGGAGCTTACTTATGTTTGAGTTGACACAATGTATTAAAGTGCCTACTTACCATGTGCCAACCAAAAAACATTTTTACAAAAAGGGCTAACCTAAGCGCCATGTTCATTTTAATTGCTTGCGGGATTGGGCCACACCCCAACGTGCTCGGGGCTTACTCGTGGCTCTATGTTCAGGGATCATTTCCAATGGTGCCTGGGGGATCACGTGTGGTGTCAGAATCAAATCAAATCTGCATGCAAGGCAACATATATTATCTGCTCTGTCCTTATCTGACCTTAACTTTCTGGTCCCCGCTCTCAGTTTCAAAAGACATGTTCTGGCTTCATTTTGGTGTTGGGGTCACACCCCATGGCGCTCAGGAGTCACTCTTGGCTAGGGAGTTTTGGGGTCACTCCTGGCCACGTGCAGGATGAGATATGCATGCTGGGGATGGAAATGCTCATCTCTCCCATACGAAGTCCACCGAGCCATCTTCCTGGCCCTACTTTCACTTCTCTTTTTTTGTAGGTCCCACCCTCCCACCCCAGTACCCTCTGGTCTGGCCACTTAGGCACTCTGGCTCTGTGGTCAGCCTGGGAGTGCTAAGCTCCTGGGTTCTGGGGGTCACCAGGGTCATTCCAGGGAGGCCCGTGGTACTGGTCATCAAACCCGGTGTCTCCTTGCTAGCTTTTCCACTCTGGAGAAACCAGTGTTCTCTCTGGAACATGGATTTCCTCTCTTTCTCTCCTCTCACATCTTCTTATGCAAGTTTTGTTCAGTAAAAACTATCTTGGCCAGAGAGACAGCACAGCGGGCAAGATGTGCGTCTTGTATGCAGCTCACCCAGGTTCGATCCTGGGCACTCTGGAGGAGCCCCACAAGTGATTCCTGAGTGCAGAGCCAGAGGGAGCCCTTGAGCATTGTCAGGTGTAGCCCCCAAGCCGAAACAAAACAAAACATAAACCAGAAAAAGGAAAAAAAAAAAAGCCTTTAAAAAGTCCAAGTCTTTTATGTGTTGTAGCTAACATTAATGCTTAGTATTGTGATAGTCATAAGATTTATATAAGAAAAAAATAGTTTCTTCTTTCTTATAAGCCTATGGGCAGTTAAGGGGATATTATTCCATGTGTGATGAAAAACCAGGTGGGAATCATTACTGAAAGAAGTGTTCTGCATTCTGCAATGACAGTAATTGATTTTCTAATGTGCTTCATGAATCCAGTATTTTGAACTCCTAAAAGTTATATATTTTGGAAGACAGCCTGTTTAACAGTTTAACTGCAGTAGTCATTTATCTCAGTAAACAGAAAAGTACAGTCAAAAAGACTTGCATAGTACAGAAAATAGATAAGATTTAAAAGAAAATCTAAGAGATGGGACTGATAAATAGATTAACGTCAAAGGAACCAACAAGGCTAAGAGGCATTCTTAAATATGCCAAAGCTAAGGTTCTGCCCCATCACACAGTACACAACTAGATACTATTCAATACATCATGATATATTATGCAAATCACTTTCTTTAAACATTTCCCTTTCCCTCTTCCAAAGAAAATCACTGAGTCAACAGAAGCATTTGTTTACGTACCTCAAACATTCTAGCAGCAGTGCACCTCACAAGTGCTGAAGTATGTACAACGCCATACCACAGCACAGTTAATAACAATTCGTGGTAGGCTGGATTTGCACTGAAAGATAAAGATAAAAATAAAATTAATGTTAAAATTGACAGCTCCAGTGCATGACTGGCATATTAAAAAAAACCACCCCATTTATAAGGATATACCATATTTATAACGGTACACATATTGACAAAATTTAAGAAATTTTGTATGATTCAGTAATTTAATATTCTTTTGAAAAGCTAGCACTCATAGACACCACGAAGTTTTAGGATAGTCAAGGCTTATACTTTAAGCTTTTCTAAGCCTTTGCACGTGTGACAGAACTCAGTTTAAAAGTTATAAAAAAGAAAAGCTGTATCTTCAAGGAAAAAAAGAGCACTGAACTTATGAGTAAGAAGAAGAAGACATTTGTGGGTTTTAGTTTTATCACTTATAAAAAAGGGGCACTGCATGTATTATATAACATATCATATATGGATCACAGAAGATCAACTCAAACCACTGGAAGGGGAAATTGGCTTAGACCATCCAACTGGAAGGTATTATTAAGAAAAGCACGAATCTGTTTCTAGTAAAGGATGAGATAAAACTACTTTAGCAGCCAGATGATGTCATCATCAGCATAACTACTGGAATGAAAAAGAGCCCAAGGAGCCAGTGTTCATTTGAACTTTCCAGTTCAGTTTTAACTATTCTTTCAACCTATATTCATTGTATTTCTCCAAGTACCCCAAATAATAGGTCTCTACCCTTTTTATAGATCTTTTATTGCAATATTATTTTACATCTCTTGAGTGATAGCACAGCGGTAGGGCGTTCGCCTTACAAGCAGCCAACATGGCCGACCCGAGTTCGATTCCTCCGCCCCTCGCGGAGAGCCCGGCAAGCTACCGAGAGTATTCGATATGCCAGACACAGTAACAACAAAGTCTCCAATGGAGACGTTACTGGGCCCGCTCGAGCAAATCAACGATCAACGGGAGGGCCTTTACCTTTACCAATATAAAAATATTAAAACAAAATATTAAAATAAAAATATTAAAAATTACAAATAAGTAAAATGCCCCTCCCTGAAAGTTTAAGTCTTAAAACCAGAAGATCTGGCATGTAAGCCAATCATCAAGACTGAAAGCGTATCATGGACTCTATAAACCCAATGTATATGAATTTTAAAACGCCACACGTTATTAACTTTACCCTAGTTCGACAAACGAAGCTTTTAGGCTATCAAGAGGAGCATGTGACAACGAAAGCAGGGTCATTACATCTTCTAAGAATCCAACTAACAGTTTCCGATCTTCTTCCTATAGAGAAAAAAATTGCTCATGAATTTCCACACAATCCAGTAGAGCTAAAATAATATTCTATTTGTAATTAGAATATTCTAGCAAGTAAGGAAAATATATCCTAATTGGAAGCACCCTAAAGATATTTATTGGGGCTGGAGCTATAGCACAGTGAGTAGGGCGCTTGCCTTGCATGTAGCCAACCTGAATTCAATTCCCATCATCCCATATAGTTCCTTGAGGTCTGCCAGGAGTAATCCCGGAGTGCAGAGCCATGAGTAGCCGCTGAGCATGACCCAGACAAAAACAAAAAAATATCTGTTTGGGGCTGGAGCGATAGCACAACAGTAGAGTATTTGCCTTGCACGTGGCCAACCTGGGTTCAATTCCTAGCATTCCATATGGTCCCCCGAGCACTGCCAGGAGTGATTCTTCAGTGCAGAACCAGGAGTAACCCCTGAGCATCGCCAGGTGTGACCCAAAAAGAAAAAAAAAATTGTTAAATATACGTCTATGAGGACAATGGCACAAGGGCAAAGATGATCTAGATTTAGGCCAGAGGTTCTTATTTGGCTCACTAACCCCCGTTTCTAGAAAAAAACAAAAAACCCACTCACTACTTCTCTGGAAATCTACCTTCTTTAAGAAAACAAAAAAGTGCCCCCAATTGCTCCTGAGATGCTACTGTCCACACCACCGCCTCCTCCCTCTGTGGTGCCAATGACCGGAGCCCTTGGCTGAATTTAGACTGATGCTAACACAGTAGGCACTTGAGCATGTGGTCAACTATATTTAAATTTCAATGACAAGTCAAGTAAAATAGATTACGTTCCCTCGCTACCTCAGCTGTAATACAAATATTTATATTTATGAACCGTGTGGCACCTTATTGGACAGTTCAGGTAGCGATTATTTTCATCACTGCAGGAACTTTTACTAGATAGGCTATATTGTCTTGTTTTTGTGTGTTTGTTTGTTCTGTGCCACACGCAGAGATACTCCGGACTTTCTCCTGGTTGTGCACGAAGGGATCACTCATGGCAGGCTCAGCTAGGCGGGGTGTGAGAACTGAAGCTAGGTTGGCTGCATGCAAGGCAAGAGCCCTACCCATAGAACGTCACTGTCGCACCAGGTTATGTTGTCTAAGTAAGATTTACTTTCATTTTAGTTCCCCTTAAATTATTTAATTTTATTATTTTTTAGGACTGGGGATTGATCCAAACATGCGAAAGCATCTGCACTTCTGCTGAGCCACATCCCCAGTCCCCATTAATTTTGGTCCTAAGTATTTAAAATGAAACATTAATTATTAAATAAGTGCTATTTATTTAGTAAGCAGTATCTTCTTAAAAGTCTGTCTGTCTATCTATCTATCTATCTATCTATCTATCTATCTATCTATCTATCTAATCTCTCTCCAAACAATATGATTAGCAAAGAGAAGCAGCACACTGTTGAAATAAAGACTACTGTTTTTGGTTTCCCTTGGCTTTTTGGGTGACACCCAGTGATGCTCAGAGGTTACTCCTGATTCTGCACTCAGGAATTATTCCTGGTGGTGCTCAGAGGACCATATGGGGTGCTCGGAATCAAACCCAGGTGAACCCAGGTCGACCATGTGCAAGGCAAATGCCCAATGCGCTTTTTTTCTATGGCTCCAGCTCCAAAGACTATTGTTCTTCAGTGCCATGCTTCATTAAAAAAAGGGGGGGGGGGATGAGGGGTGGGGGGGATGCTGGGACCCGTGGGGATGGATGACGGGCACTGGTGGAGGGATGGGCACTTGATCATTGTATAACTGAAACCCAAGCACAAAATTTGTAAGTCTATAGCTGTACCTCATGGTTTTTCACTAATAAAAAGAGAAAAAAAACAAAACAAAACAAAAAAAAATCTACAGTTTAAAAAATTTCTTCAATGAACTGTTACTGTCAAACCCAGAAAATACTGATTTTTCACCACAACGCTCTACAATTCAGGAGAAGCAAATCTACTAAATTTCAAGAGCCAAAAATAACTTATGTTGTTTACTTTCCTAGGGGCAGGAAATCTGACACTGCATGGAGAAAGAAATGGGATGTTGGGGATTGAACCTGTGTCAGCCACGTGCAAGGCAAGGGCCCACCCGCCGCATTATCACTCTGGCCCCTGCTGTGTGCTTTCTTAAACAAGCAACTCTGTCTACCTTTAAAAGAGACTTTAATTTCCATCTTGTAGTTACGTTCTCTCTTTACGGGTGAAAATAATAGTATTTTAAAACTTCATGGAATGACTCAAAAAGATATATCTTTACTTATTCAGTACATCAATACCAAGGGCCCTCTGCGAGACAAATCCTGCTCTTAGTACCATTTTATGCTTTGAAAGATACAGGGTGAAAAATGACACACTAGCTAAAAATTACCAAAGTTTAAAAGAGAGAGAGAGAGAGAGAGAGAGAGAGAGAGAGAGAAAGCGTGACACCACACTTGTTAGTATGCTGGGACAGCCTCTCGAATTACAGAGCAGGTGTGTATACTTCCTGGCTTTCGTGGTAGGAGGCACCATCAGTGTAGGACGAGTGGGGCTGAAGAGAGTGTGGGCCCGGAGGCACGCGCGCACAGCAGGCTGACCCTTCACTACTGCCAGGAGAGCTACTAAACCAAAAGAAAAATTGACGCAACACACTACTGCTGTGTCACCTGACATATCCTGCACACAAGGGTTCTGCACATATCCACATTCTGAGGGAATTCTGCTTCAGTAGAATTGGAACTTAACTTGTTCATTTTGAGTTAATGTTGGTTTACAAGACTGTACTTTAAAAAAAAAAACTTTATTTATTTTTGCTTTTTGGGCCACACCCGGTGATGCTCAGGGGTTACTCCTGGCTCTACACTCAGGAATTACCCCTGGCAGTGCTCAGGGGACATATGGGACGCTGGGAATCGAACCCGGGTCAGCTGTGTGCACGGCAAAACGCCCTACCCACTGTGCTATTGCTCCAGCCCCAAGACTGAACGTTTTTAAGGCCACAAATTCAGCCCTTTTCTTTGGAGTAAGAGCTCCTATTGCAAGTCAGCAAGTCTCCTATTGCAGGAGAGCTAGATCTGAACACTAAGGCAAGTCAACTCAATTTGTATTTTTCCTTGGAGTACCTAACTTCCAGCACTGCCCATGACAACTTCCATGAGTGTACTCCACCACACTGTCTGCTGCCCACACCCAGCCGGCCCCCACCAGCTCAGCCCTGTAACCTGCTTCTCAGGGAGCTCAAACCTGTTTTGAAACAAGCGTGTAATAAAGATGAATCACTGAACTTCGGATTCAAAGATTACAAAATATGTGAGGATCAATGGGGGGGGGGGGGAATTAGGCGTTCATTTGTGATTCTCACACACTTTATTTTTTTAATTTAGTCACCATGAAATTACAAAGCTAGGTTTCGGGCTTATATATGTATACTGTTTCAACACCGATTCCTTCACCAGGAAGGCGATTCCCTCCGCCAATTTCCCATTTGCTTCCCACCCACCAGTAGGCTCCCACTAGAGGCACTTTCTAAAAACAGGCAAGCTTTCGCACTGTGGCTTGCAGTACTGCTGCTAACAGGGTTCCTAGACAACACTTCCCGTCTTTCTCCTCCTTGTCCTATGCCCCAATCCCCCAGGGGGCATGGGTGGACCTGCTGCTCCCGTGGCCCATGGAGAGGTCGCAGAACTGCACCGATGGGAACTCAGGCCCAGCCACCCTGCATCCCCTGGTGACTAATCAGTTCAGTGCAGCTGAGCAAGGGACCAGCAGCGAGACCAACAGAAGAGATACTCAGCTAATTCTACCAGCAACTAAACTGGTCATAATTTGGAGTTTATCAGGCAGTTTATTTAACTAAGAAAAACAGGGTATTAAAGAACTTTGCTAAAAACAATAGAGCAAAGCATTAAAAAAAAATTCATTCAATTTTGGTTTGGGGCTATGCCCGGCAGCGTTCAAGCTTACTCCTGACTGCACTAGGGGCTCACTCCTGATGGTGCTTGGGGTCGCTGGCTTTGTTTGGTTTTAAGGTCACACCTGGTTGGGATCAAGGCTCACTTCTGCCTTTGTGCTCAGGAGTCAGCTGCTGCGAAGCTAGGGGGACCATGTGGGGTGCCGGGGACTGAACTCGGGTCAGCCATGTGCAAGGCAAGCGCCCTACCCGCTGTTTCAGCCCCTTGGGCCCCTATTTTAAACATATTACAAATAACTTTATCTAACACATGTGCTATTGTGTTTTTAGGTCACGTACAGCTGTGCTCAGGGATCATTCCTGGAAGTACTCAGGGCACTGAACCCAGGCTGGCTGTGTGCAAGGCAAATGTACCACTATACTATCATCTTTCCAGCATTCCACTGTTTGTCAAGAAAATGGAATATAAAATACAAACTTTGTGACGGAAGCATAATCGAATACTTTCAGTAACATATCAAAAGCATACAATCACTAAAATCATTCAACTTAAAACTTTATTCTTAATTTCATCAAGATATACTATTATTGATTGAATAAAATAACTGATTTTTCTATATGAGTAACATTTTCAATTATAGGCTCATTAAAAAGACATGTTATTAAGTATCCTACTAAATACTGAGTAATTAATAAGAGTGAAACTTAGAAATGCTAGATAAAAGTAAAGGACTTGTACTGGAAACTCAGAATTTTCCCCTTACCTGAATGTAACATGTAAGAACTCCTGTTGCATAAATGGGGACGGTAGCTTTAGTGAGGACCCCATTTCCTGCTGAGGAATCTAAAATCATTAACATAATTTTAAAAATTAAGTATATTTTAAGTATGAAACAAAAAGCCACAAATCATAATCATAAGGCTTACAAAAATATCATTATTTTGAAATATATACAATGGTTTTTGTTAAAAAATACTTTTTAGAGAACTATTAACATGAACACTTCTAATAGACGGGAAAGAACTTGAACAACCAAAATGAGGTGCTAAATCTTTATTTCCATAATCATGAGATCAGAATCTTCTGAGTTTCCCAAGTGCCCACATAAACGTATCTTTGTAATAATTCATGCTTCAGATTTTAAAAGTTCAGTAAAAGGCACTAAATTGAAAGCAGGCACTTAGATATACTTAACTGCTCCCAGATACCAGATACTACCCCGTTTCCAGGACCATTTTGGCTCTCAAGAGAGTATCTGAGCTAGAAATGACTGATTATAATCACGGAGAAGGGAGAAGTAGAGCAGGGAAAGCATCCAACCACATGTGAGAGTTTTAAAAATTCCTGAACAATGTTGAAAATTACTATTATGGCACTGACAATGCTATTCCTGGTCACTAGGTACAGTTTTAAGTACTACTTTTATTTACTGACAGTTTTGAAATTTTTTTAAAAATTCTTTTCAGGTACATAAACAGTCAACTGATCTTAAAGAATCTGACGAACCGATCTTAAGCAAAGATAATCTCCTTTGTCCCCCCCCCCCCCCAGCCTCCCGCCCCCACCACTGAGCTCATGGCTTTCTCTAGGCTCTGCACTCAGGTTTCATTCTGGAGGTGCTCAGGGGACTATATGGGATGCCAGGGAACAAACCTGGGTCAGTCACATACAAGGCAAGTGCCCTACCTGCTTTACTATCTCTCTAGCTCCCAAAATTCCATTTTGACGTCAATTAATGCTTGAGGGTTGTTTATTCTCTTGATAGGAGTAATTTTTTCTCTGAGTGATTATTGATGTTGATGGAGTGTAGCTATTGCTAGAGGCAAGTCGCTCTCCTATATGGAGAAACTAGTATTTTATACTGAAAGTGTGTATTTTCTCCATTCTCATAATTCCCAAATAAAAGTATTTTACTAGGGAAAAAAAAGTGTGTTTATAGACTTGAGGATACACTGAATATAAAGATGAGTGTTTATACAGGGATAATTATCCCATCTCATATGAAATTAAAACTCCCCATTCCTACCATAGTCCCCAAAATATTAAAAATTTTTCCATTAATGTAACACCAGAAGTTATAATTACTTAAATATATAAGACCAACTTTTAAGCACCCTAGACATTAATCTATTAAGAACATCCATTTAGTTTAGGCCACACACCTGACAGTGCTCAGGGCTTACTCCTGGCTCTGAAGTCAGGGTAAGTCACTCCTGGTGGGACTTAGGGAACCATGTGGGATCATGGGGACGGAACCCAGGTCGACTGTGTCCAGTGTAGGTGCCCTACCCACTGCACTACTTTGGCCCATACATAAAAACCTTAGGATGCATTTGTTTGGAAGATTTTGTTTTTAAATCAATGTCTTTGATCTTAAAAGTAAATGGAGTTTATGGGGCTGGAGAGACAACACAGCGGGTAGGGCGTCTGCCTTGCGCGCAGCCAATGCGGGTTCGATTCCCAGCATCCCATATGGTCCCGAGCACTGCCAGGAGTAACTCCTGTGCATCGCCGGGTGTGACCCAAAAAGAAAAAAAAAAAAGAGTAAATGGAGTTTTGTAGACCACTAGATCAAACCAGTAAGAACAAAATTCGACTATCTATGCATACCAGTATCTATAATCAAGATGAACCGTGTTGAAAAAAATTTTCTTTTTCCCCAGAATTTCATACTAGAGACTGAAAGACTACACATGAATGTCAAGAACCATACATGAATGGTTTCTTAGGTCAATGGTACTAAACTAGACTTTTTTTTTTTGGTGGGGGGAGAGGAGGGTGGGACTGGGAGTTTGGCAACACTTGATGGTGTTCGGGTTTCATTCCCAGTGGTGCTTAGGGGACCATGCAGTGCTGGGATGAAACTGGGGTCAAGGGCCAGAGTGATAGCACAGTGGGTAAGGTTCTTGCCTTGCATGTGGATGACCCAGGTTTGATCCCCAGCACGACAAACGGCTGCCTGGCCCCCCTGGGAGTGAATCACCAGCACTAAGCCAGGAGTAAGTCTCAGTAATGCCAAGCATTACACCCAAACAAAAACAAAACAAAAACAAAAAAATTAGTGTCAACGGCATACCTGCCCAGTGCAGGGCCTAACCGCACCCCACCCCTGCAATCTCTCTAATCACTAACATTTTCAGACAGAGGCAATTCTGCCCAGTGAAGTGCCTCACCCCTGCAATCTCTCTTCAGTCCCTACCATTTTTAAATAGAGGCGACTCCCTGTGATGTGTGAGGACCATGACATGCTGGGGATCACACTCAGGGCCGTCTGCATATGCTCTGCCACTTGAGAGCCTGGGACATTTAATTAGACCTTTTTTTTTCTTGCTTTTTTTTTGAGGGGGGGGAATGGTCACACCCGGCAATACACAGGGGTTACTCGTGGCTCTGCACTCAGGAATTACTCCTGGCAGTGCTCAGGGGATGCTGGGAATCAAACCCGGGTCAGCTGCATGCAAGGCAAAGCCCTACCCGCTGTGCTATCACTCCAGCCCTATCTTAGACTTTTGAGTGTGCTTAGACTTTTAAGACAGATGAGTACAGATGATCACTAGTCTGACCCGTCAAGTCTGTCATTTCTTTCCTTTTATGGGGCAGGTCACACCTGGGGGTGCTCAGGGCTTACTCCTGGCTCTGTACTCGGGGGTCATTCCTGGCAGGCTCAAGGGATGCCAGGATCTAACAGGTTTGGCTGAGGCAAGGACAATGCCCTATGTGCTGTACTCTGGGTCGGCTCACTGGAGTTTCTTTTAGATCTTTCAGATCTCCTGTTGAAGGGCCACAGACCACAAGAGGCGCTGGGTGCGATCCCCAACACAAGCCCTCCACCAGCCTTGCCCAGGAGCCTCTCAGGGTACAGCCCCCACAACAGTAAAACAAAACCCACACTTCGTCTTTAATGTAAAAAGAACAGAGACCTTCTGTTCCACTGCACTGAGTTTGTTTACACTTTTCTCGAGTCACCTAAAAGTGACAGATTACATGCTCTTTACTTTCTAATTTTCAATAGTTTGGTTACAGCACTTCAACCCCCAAGGGCACAAGTACTCAGCTCTGAAAGTTCAGTCTTTGATCAAAGTGAAAGTAAGGGTAGGTATTTATAATCAGATATAAGATTAACTTCACTGCTACATTATGGGGATCAGATACGAGAGCTATAAAACCAAGAACTCTACAGTTTGTCTTCCCTTTAAAAGGACTTACTAGCTAATTTGTATAATTGACATGCACTGAATAAAATCTTCTCCTAATGTGTGAAGAGAACTATTTTTAAATTTGTTTTTGGTTTTGAGGCCACATCCAGTGATGTTCGGGAGATACACGGTGCTGGGACTAAAGAGAGACCGGCTACGTGAAGGGAAGGACCTTAAACCCTGGACTGTCATCTTATCCCAAGAAATCAATTTTTTGAAAAATAGCAATCAACTCACCGATGTTTTCTTCAGACAGCCTTAAAATCTCTTGAAACTGAGGTTTGACCTAAGTAATCCAAAGAAAAGATCCAAAGAATTTCAGATTCAAACAATCAGATGACAAATAAAATGCTGACTACTATTAATAACTAAATTAAAACAATTACCAAGATGCTGCTAAATGCTTGATATTATAGCCTGCTAAAACTGAAGTTAATGATAGGAAGGTTATTCAAGGTAAGTAAGTAAGTAAGTAAGTAAGTAAAGGCCCTCCCGTTGATCGTCGATTTGCTCGAGCGGGCCCAGTAACGTCTCCATTGGAGACTTTGTTGTTACTGTGTCTGGCATATCGAATACTCTCGGTAGCTTGCCGGGCTCTCCGAGAGGGGCGGAGCAATCGAACTTGGGTCGGCCATGTTGGCCGCTTGTAAGGCAAACGCCCTACCGCATTCAAGGTAAGTATGTTATAATTTAAATTACTGAAAGAACATTTGCTATATTTAATAGGAATAAAACAAACTCTGTTTAGAGCACTCAACAACATACTTATCACAGGTTTAAACTTTTACTTTCTTAAAATTTAATCATCAAGAACAGATTTAATATTTCAAGTTAATTTTTTTTTTAACTTTTTGGGTCACACCGGCAATGCACAGGGGTTACTCCTGGCTCTGCACTCAGGAATTACTTCTGGCAGTACTCAGGGGACCAAATGGGATGCTGGGAATTGAACCCGGGTGAGCCGCGTGTAAGGTGTTATTGCTCCAGCCCCAGAGTAAATGTTTTTAAAACAACTTTAATATTTATTTAGCAAAGTTTCAGTTGCCTAAAATGCTTATCTTTTACATGTTTTGATTAAAATGTGAATATAGTAACTATCTTTTATCCATTATATCATGTCTCTAAAGGACTCATTTAGATTATAATATATTATAAAAACAAAAAGGATCAACAAGATTAAAGAATGAGTTGGGTTCAAAGGAAAATACAATTGTGATATCTAGAACCAAAGGAACTTGGAGAACACAAATGTGACAAACACTTTGAGCAGCGGCTGTCAGACCAGTGCTGATTCCCACGGGGCCATGCTACTTGGAAGCCAATAGCCCTGCGGCAGGTCTACTACATTTAAGATGTTTGGCTCCACACTGCCGGAGTTCAGCGCAAACAGCATTTTCTTGACTCTGTGGCAGATGGTTATAGAAGCAGAAACAGCACACTTAAAGCAAGACAGCTGTTACCTACTGATAGTTCCTCTGCTGGAAATCTTCGAGATAATATTAGATGGTCTCAACAGAGTAAAAACCCAGACCTTACAGCTTTTTTATTTTTCATTTGGCGACCACACCCAGCTATGCTCAGGAATTACTCCTGGCAGTGCTTACAGGGACCATATGTGGTGCCAGAGATTAAACCAGGGTAGCTAATGCACGGCAGGAGCCTTAATCCCTGTACTATCTCAAGGGCCCTAGATTTTAAGTGCAGGCTAAATCATTTTTGGAAAATTACTAAAAATATGAATATTATCCATAAGAATTTTTGTAAGCTTTTTTTTGGGATATTAGAAGATAATTCAAAGAAGGAGTCATGTTTTTATTTGTCCTACAATTAGTACTAACCAATTACATTCCTATGTCTCTTATATGGAAGAAAATTTGGAGTATTAGTTTTTACCTTAGTATTTGTAAAGATTTTGCCAAATGTCCGACAGAGGCGCCAGAAAAATCTGGAAAATTCATGGACACAGGCCGATGAAGTAACGTTAATTTTGCCAACTATTTCTATAAGTTGCGGCAACCTGAATAGGAGAGGAAAGGGGAAGAAAGGCAGAAGGAGCACATGAATTACTGTTTCCGTGAAATCCTAGAAACAATGCAAACCTAACAGCACCTCCTATCCAGTTCAATTTTGAAGGAACGCTGTTACTTGGGACCTCTTGAAAAGGTCTTCACTTTACACTAAGTTTCTTAAAATATGTTTTAATTGCTTGCCAGAAAATTTATGGGATTCTAATGGCAGAGTCCTACGTATCCAGTTAATGAGACTCAGATCTCTCCATATGATGCTTCACTAAGAACCTGGCTACTACGGTGTCCATTTAAACACCCCAAAAGAAAAATATAGAGGTAGTTTTAAACTCATTTCCTTTACTAGATAGTAGCATAGAGAGACCCCTCCCATATTAGGGTAGGCAGCACCATCTTCACAGATAAGCATGTACATTACAGTGATTATCTCTTTTCCTAAAGAAATTCACTCTAGATCAAATGAGACTATATTTTGTTATCTTGCAGATTTCCTTGCAAAGGCTTAAACACAATGAGCTACCTCCCATTCAAGTGATTCAGGTATATCCAACGAGCAACTTACAATTGATTGACAACCCATAGTAAACTCTCCCAGCCTGTTGTACCCTCATGTTCTAGTTGGTGATCGTAGAGTTGGAGTAGGACGGCCAATTGCTCTCGACTTCCAATAATAGTAGATACATCTTGAAGAGGCGACATAGGTCGTGGGAACCTTGTCACTGTAATAATAATAAGAAAAACACATTACATGGAGAACAGCAGTTTGGTTAACTGTTGTGTCAAAAGGAAAACAAGGCTCTTCCTTCTAATATTTTGTCTTTAATAATAAAATTTTATGAAACACTCAAATCATTTTTAGAAAAGTCACACATGAACAAATTTCAAAAACGTGATTTTATTAGGTTATAGGGGCTGGAGTGATAGCACAGCAGGTTGGTCGTTTGCCTTGCACCCGGCCAACCTGAGTTCAATTCCTCCGTCCCTCTCGGAGAGCCCAGCAACCAGCAACTGAGAGTATCCCACCTGCACGGCAAAGCCTGGCAAGCTCCCTATGGCATATTCATATGCCAAAAACAGTAACAAGTCTCACAATGGAGGAATTACTGATGCCCGCTCAAGCAAATCGATGAACAATGGGAGGACAGTGCTACATAGTTAATATTCTGTAGAAGTTTGCGAATGAGTAAACTCATTTACTCATAAACTCATTTACTCACTTTAAATTAGGATTGGCCGAACTCATTTACTCATAAACTCATTTACTCACTTTAAATTAGGATTGGCCCAAAGATATTAGCTAAAATATGGGCTTAATCTCAGTTTTACATAAACATCAGAACTTGCAAGTCTACCAGAATATTTATGTTAATGAAGTAGTAAATATTATAAAATGTTTCCCATAGGGAGAAAGAAACTAATAGGTAACTGCAGGTAAAAAAATTACTTAATACCAGAAATAAGAATTTAAAAAAAAAATTAAGCCTTAATTAAATTAAGCCATAATTAAGCCTTGCGAGGAACAGATTTCTTTAGTACTAAATTGCTCATACTAAATGCTTTATTTAAAAGCATTTTCATTTGATAAACATTAGCTAATATGAAATACTAAAGCCAGTAGCCAGTAATTTAAATATTATAATCAGATACCATGTATATAACTTTAAAAGTTTTCAAAGAAAATTGGAAAACTCACTTTAAAATGACCTAATTAAAACATAACATTAAAACATAAACATATGCTATTCCTACACACAAAAAATAAACATATACTACTATATTTGAAAAATTCACATATATCAAGATCTGTGATTGCACAGAGCGTGATTAGATCTCAGGTTATTAATGAATACTTCTGGATTTGCTGCTGAGGAATACATGCCAACAGCTTATTAACTTTGGCCAGGAAATCCTACACCCCAATGGAGGGTTAGCCAACCCAACAGAGGCTAACACCCAAAAGACACAATAAAGATGCACCATGATCTCAAATTATTAATGGCATAATAATAATTAAGCGAAATTTAAAATTAAAATATCTTGAAGACAAATCATAGATGCTACTATTTTCTAGAATGCTAGAAGGAAGGAGGGCGCTGGGGAACGTGGCCTGCCCTGGCTAAGGCCTCCACTCTCAGTCTCTCCTTCCCCCAGTCAAACAGAATGAATGGTGAGGGGTATTCTTTTTTACATACACCCAAACCACATTTAATCAGGAAAATAATACACATTTATGAATACTGATTTATGATAGTTTAAAACTTTTCTAAACAACCAGATAAAAAAACCTTCGGAGAACTTCAAGTGATACACATTTCACTCCCACCACCCTCTCCGATTCGAGCCTCCTTCCCCCACCCTAGGATGGCTTTTGGCTTGTTCCCTCTTGCAGTCATATACAACCACGACATTTTGAAGGTGAAGACATGACTAATTTCTAGATCTTGTAAAAACTTGTCTGGCAGAACTTCAAAAAAGGTTTTATGTCATGCTGGTCACAAAATGCTATAACAAAATAAATGTTATTCCTCAAAACTAATCATACAAAAATCATGAATAATTAAAAGAAAAACAGGGACATTAAGATTTACCAGAGAGGACCAAAGAGCTCCTGGTTTGATCCCCGGCTCTATATATGGTCCCCTAAGCACACCCAAGAATGATCCTTCCAGCACAGGGCAAGAATAAGCCCCGAGCACCACCAGTGTGGCCCAAAGAACAAAAAACAAAAATAAAAGATTTACCATAGAGAGAGTGAGGTACAAGGATTTAAAGATAGGTTCAAGGAGGCAAAACAGTATCAGGATATATGAAATCATGTGGCTCATTAGGTTACTACAGAGAAGCAGAATAACTTAAGAATGGTTCAGAAGCTTCAAAACTAACAATAACAGAATTAAAAAACATAATTTATGTAATTTGAAACAACACAGAAAGCTTCCCAGAAGGTTATTTTAATAGACTGGCAAAACTAACAACGTAACTATCTAGTGACCACAACTATGCAGAAAGAAGTTATGAATCTTCATGAGATTATTAAAGGCTTGTAAAAAGGTTAATGGTTTTTATCTCCTGCTAGAATGTAAACTCTGCGATAGCATTAATTTTTGCTTATGTTATTCATGAATGTATCCTAAACATTTAAAATCGTGCATGGCATAAACAATAGCTACTGCTGTGGAATAAATGGGCAGTATACAGATTCATAGACTTCTAAACATAGGCCCTATTTGGGGATATGATATTTCTGCATTTATGGCACTGTTAAGAGTTACAGGACAGATTAAACCAGCCAGAACTGGAAAAGAAGATCAATTTTTCTGAAATGAGGAAGACCTAACGACAAGGCCACGCCAACACTAACAGACTACGTTCAGCATGCTACACCGGCTCTTCTAAATATTCCCCGAGTCTCAGCATGCGCTTGGCAACAGGTGACATTCAAGATTTATTTGTTAAACAAATAAGCCAATGACAGCAAATTTTGTAAATGACCACCCCAATCCTTATGCTGAAGTCCTAACTCCCAGATTAATATTTATTTGGAAACAGTGTTGCAGCAGACATAATTAGACAAAGTAAGACCAAACTGGAGCAGCGTGGGCCTCTCATCCGACAGAAATGATCATCGTAACTAGAAGCGGGCAGCACTGGGGCACACGCACGAATGTGCAGCAAAAGGCAGAACAGAAACTAGAGCGATGCATCTTCAAGCCAAGGAAGACTGAAGATTGCCAGTCCAGCAGAAGCCGGGAGAGGCAGGGCAACGACTCTTCTCTCGCCACCTTCGGCAAGAACCAAGCCCGCCAAAACGGTGATCTCACACTTGCCGCCTTCAGGACTGAAACAATCTGACAGGAAAGCACTCACACTGTATTCCCAGGAAACAAGCAGAAAAAGATAAGAAGAGCGTGAGAGAAGTAGAATGATAGGAGAAGCCCTCAACAAATGAAGTGCCTTAATAATGAGTACATAAAACTGAAAGGGCCAGCTCTGAATGCTCTATCAAGTCTTATCTTAAAAACTTTGAATGTGTACTCTCTCAATATTATTTTTAAATATGATGGCCAGAGCTGTGGAACAGCAGGTGGAGCACACGTCTCGCATGTGTGAGGTACTGGGTTTAATCCCTGGGGGAACTGTCACTGTCACTGTCCTCCCATTATTCATCGAATTGCTCGAGTGGGCCCAGTAACGTCTCCATTTTGAGACTTGTTGTTACCGTGTTTGGCATATTGAATATGTCACGGGTGCGGGCTAAATTCTTTCGGTAGCTTGCCTGGCTCTCCGAGAGGGGCTGAGGAATCGAACCCTACCGCTGTGCTATCGCTCCAGCCCCCCTGGGGGAGAGGTGAAAATAAAACCTTACCAAGAATAGGAACCTAAGTTTACCCCATCCATCCTTAACTTTCTAAGTAAAGCTGGTATTTCAGTAGTATAAACCAGTTTTATGCTGTGGCCTGATCTCTCCTTGGAAACAAGGGCTGAGACACAACATCCTAAAGATTTTCACTATCATAATTTACACTAAGAAAACTGCATTTCTATAAAAATTAAGTAACTGTGAATATTCCTGACATTATAATTTTTTTTGTCTATCAGAAACCAGGAAGACACAGGGGCACTTTCACAAATCTGAGAAGGTTGTAAAGAAATCTCATACAGAACAGTGGCTTGTCTAAAACCATTTATATTGGGTGCTGGTTACAAAGCGACTCCTAATGACCACGGATCAAAGACCAAGTACTGTTCGTGAACACATAAGAATGTTGCCGGGGGCTGGAGAGACAGCAGTGTGGGTAAGGAGCTTGTCCTGCATGCGGCTGGTCTGGGGTCCGTCTCTGGCACCCCATATAGCCCCTCAGTTCCTGTCAGGAGGGACTCCTGAGTGCACATCCAGGAGTAAACTGAGCACAGCAGGGTGTGCTCCAAGAGGAAAATGAATGGTTTTCTGCTATCAATTTTTTTTTACTTCTCGAAGAAAAATGTAGTCCTTCTTTGGTTTGAACAAAAAAAGGGGAAATTCTGCTGCATATGTTCATATTTCTATCAACAAGGAAAGAGAAATTGATTTTCCTTCCCTTACTAAAAATAAAGTCATACAGAAGAATAAAACAGAGGCAATTTTAAGTTCTGTAAACTGGTACTAGTAATTAGTGAATTTTCTCACTGACTCAGTAATAGACATGAAAGAAAGACTATCTTGGCCACTAAGAAAAAAGTGATAAAAAGGCGACAGATCAGGAATGGATCGATGGCGCAGAGGTAGGGTGCCTGCCTTGTACGATCTGGTTTTGATCCTCAGCACCCCATATGGCCCACCATGAGTGACCTCTGAAAACAAAGTCAGGAGCACTGCTGGGTGTGTTCCAAAAACCAAACCAAACCAAAAAAAACGGTGGATTAAGTCTGTAGCACTGTCCTCCCGTTGTTCATCGATTTGCTCAAGCAGGCCCCAGTAACGTCTCACAACAAATTGTGAGACTTGTTACTGTTTTTGGCATATTTAGTATGTCGCAGGTAGCTTGCCAGGTTTTGCCGTGCGGGCAAGATACTCTCTCTCGGTAGCTTGTCGGGCTCTCCGAGAGGAGCGGAGGAATCGAACCCGGGTTGGCCGCGTGCAAGGCAAATGCCCTACCCGCTGTGCCACCGCTCCAGTAAGTATAAATATCATACCAGGAGACTTACTCATTAGAAGACAAAGCCATCTAGGAGTTAAGACATCACGTAGGGTACGACCATGACATTTCACATACAGAATACATGTCAGTGAGGATGCTATTGTCTCAAACGAGTTTCAGAACACTCAGCGAAACATAATGCTTCGGGAAGCTAAGCTGCTGAGAGCCTACATCTTCCTTCCAGAACTGAAGTCCAGTACCTTCGATCTGTGGCACGTCACCGTGCAGCTTGGCTTTGCTGGAGAAAGGGGCATTCTGGAGCACGAGTGCAAAGAGGGACGGGATCAAGGACTGCAGAGCAGAGAGATACATGTGGAGCTTATGTTCATCCAGCCCGTGCTCTCCTTCCTGAAACAGAAGGAGGTGAAAGCTCATTCAGACTGTTGAAATGACGCGTTCACGACGCTCTTCCTTTCTGTGGCAACTAAGAGAACATTCGTTAAGGGACCTCTATGTCAGACGCAGCGTAAAACCTCACAGAGTTATTCATGGGTCTTAATTTCTCTAAGTATAAGAAAATGCAAAAGAAGCAGCGAGAGGCTGCATAGAAGAGACAGGATCTTGCATGTGGAGAAGTTTAAGGGGAACCAGACTCTTTCCGTTCGTTTCAACTCTTCAGGCAGGGTAAGAGGGTCTTGTCTTTGGAGATTGTGTGAGTCAGGGTGAAGAAACGACAGTGAGCCACAAGGACACTCGAAATGCTCAACTGCCAAAGCAGCACTTCCTCCCTTCTACTTCCCATCTCCCTTTATAGATCTGGAGACATCCGTATCTGCCAGCACTGAACGACTTTAAAACAGATCAGCACACAAAAAAACTGCAGGAGGAGAAAATTCAAAGGAAACAAGAACGGGGGAAAAGAGGAAAAGGGCCACTAGGACACAGAGAACCAAATAAGTGAAAAATAGGGTCACTGGAGAAGAAAGTGTTGTGAGAGCCTAAGATGGCCTTACTGAATGATACAACAACAACGATGTCAGAAATACCGAAGACGTGCGCTACTTAGAAGACAATTCTGGATTAATTTCCTAGTGGAAGAATTACTGTTGATGCTGAACATCGCAGGTATATTTAGTAGCCATGTGGAATTAGCCGTTTTATGGACAAGAAAAACCAGCTACGGGTAATTCTCATAAGGAAGGTAAACATTAAAAATGTGCTTGAAATTTCGAGTGCTGGGGAGAGAGGTCAGAGGCGCCGAGTTCAGCCCCCAGCAGGACACGCCACACTCCTGCCTATAGGATGGATCTTGATCATCTCCCCTCACCCCTGGGCCCAAGGAGCACTGTTCTGCTGACACCTCGCACTGAGCCTCACTACGTGCCTGAGAGGGCTGCTTCCCACATTCCTAGGCGTGTCATAAAAAGGATTGCTTCAATTAGTTCTATTCAATACAAACTTAAATATCCATTAAAATTAAAAACCATTAAAATATATGTGCAAATACCATTTAAAGAACAGCTGCAAGGTAGGGCATGTGCCCTGCATGCAGCTAACCTGCATCCCAAATGGTCCCCTGAGGCTGCCAGGAAGTGATCCCTGAGTGCAGAGCCAGGAGTAAGCCCTGGCTCTGCAGTCAGAGGTACTCACAGGGTATGACCCCTAAACAAACTGCAAAGCTTTAAATAGAGTCTAACCAATTCTTTCAAGTTTTGGGGTTGAAAAAAGCAAGAGCCTGAAGGCAGATTCTGGTTTTGTCATCTGCCAGCTTTAGGAACCCAAGCAAAGTTGCACATATGAAGTCTGTCTCCACTCCAAAAATGAAACAGCATCTAAGGGCTATAAAAATAAAACACATTTTATTTTTTATTAAATTTTTTGCTTTTTGGGTCACACCCGGTGATGCACAGGGATTATTTCTGGCTCTGCACTCAGGAATTACTCCTGGGGACCATATGTGATGCTGGGAATCGAATCTGTGCAAGGCAAGCACCCTACCCACTGTGCTATCGCTCCAGCCCAAAACACACTTTATATGTAAAGGATCTACCTTAAAGGGACATAATAACCACTAAAGAAATACCAGGGTTTGGGTCAAGGGACGTGGCTCACCAGAAGAGGCCCGGGTTCATTTTCAATTCCTGGTATAATAAAAATAAAAGTTTACTATTGTTTCTTTAACTTGGAAAGAATGCAAAACAAGCAATTTGAGGCCAGAGCAACAGTACAGAAGAAAGCATTCTGATATCACGTTAAAACGAAAACTTTAGTAACATTGTGTATTGTAAGTATCTCAGCGGGCTGGAGCGATAGCACAGCGGGTAGGGCGTTTGCCTTGCACGCAGCCAACCTGGGTTTGGTTCCTCTGCCCCTCTCGGGGAGCCCGGCAAGCTACTGAGAGCATCCCGTCCGCACGGCAGAGCCTGGCAAGCTCCCCGTGATGTATTCGATATGCCAAACACAGTAACAAGTCTGACAACGGAGACGTTACTGGGCCCACTTGAGCAAATCGATGAACAATGGGAGGACAGTGACAGTGAATTAGCCTGGAAATTTGGGAACTGGAGCTTTACCTAAAAGGTACGTAAAATATTTCAGTCTTCAGAAGAAAGAAGAAAGGGCTGGACCATGGTACAGTGGTAGGGTGCTCGCTTACTTTTGCACATGGCTGACCCAGGTTTGATCGCTGGCACCCCAGATGGTCCCTGAGCCCTAAATCCAGCTAGGGATGGCCCAAAAGGAGAAGGAGTGGGGGGGGGGAGAGGAGGAAGAGGAGGGGGAGGGGAGGAGGAGGAGGGGGAAGAGGAGGGGGGGGGCTAGCTTTCTGAAAAATATATGAGTTAGTTCCAGGAAGAGGCTATTTCAGCCAAGAAAGTCACTGTCTTTTCTTCCCCCCTAGATTTAATAAAGCAAAGCATTAAATCTCTCCTGGCTCCAGTTCAACAGAACCTTTATGGGGTAAACTATTTTGTATTATCATGTGCATCTAAGAAGTCCAATTGTCTGTGCTGCTCAGGGGACCTTAGAACAATACACTTCTTACATCATCTGTAAGCAATGCAGAGAAAAGAAGTGCTCACCCTGAGAAGTTTCTCAATCTTGCTGAGCAACGTAGGGATAAGATGCGACTGCAGGTTTCCGAGTTCTGTAGTCCAGGCAGCATAAGCTGGTAAAAATACTTGGTGTGTAGCACTAACGACCCTCTCTGAGGGATCACCTAAGGCTGAGAGTAACAATTCAAAGCCCTGCCAAAAAAGAAACAGGTTCAGTGGCGAGTTTTTTGGGAATATACGTTATAAGTCCCACAATATGTAATAAATACACGCGGCAATAAATTTAGAAGAATGCTACGCAGGAAAAGAAGCCATCATTAACCCCATCCTTGCCATTTTCTTCAGAGAAAATGCCTGGCATTCACTGATGAGGAAACCAAAAGAGAAAGGGAGGGAAACATAGCAGGCTTGGAGCCAGCTTCCGGCCATGAAGCTGTGGCAGATACTATAAGTTAGAGTCCTAGCAATTTTTCCTCTGAATTGCAGAACTGAAACCAGGCAGCCAATTCCAACTGCAAAAAGGTGCCAGACCTGCTATCCCGATTAAAAAAACAAAACAAAAAAAAAAACAAAACATGGTTTCTGAATCTGAGATTTGAAGCATCATGGTATTTGAAATGGCTCGTCCTCAAAGACATACCTGTTGATACTTGTCTGGGTCATCAATGTATCCCATAATGATACCAAGGCTTTTGATCACAGCTTCTCTTACCAAATCTGCCTTATCTTCCATTAACATCTGCTGCAACATTGACAGAACCAAAGAGCTACGGATTTCTTTCTGAAAAGAAGTGAGAACATGCTTTTACTACTCACACTAGCAATAGAAAAGTCCAGATTTTCAATGCCCCGATGACACGCACATTTATATTTGGTAAGTATGCTTCATTTTTCAAGACATAAAACATTACAGATACATCCTAAGCATTATTCTCCCCCTCTCTGTTCTGCTTCTACTCCACTCTTCCTTTCTAAAGACAGTAGAAAGATCTACCCTGAATTCCGAATCAGTAGCTTCCCAGTGACTTTATTTATATACCTCCTGACTACATGCGAACTGAAGCAGTCCACACTACTGCGGAGGGACAGTGACTTTTCTAGCACTACCTGCTCAACAGGCAGAGTTACAGGAACAAGAGAGACCACAAAAATCACTGTTTATAATGAAAACCTTTGCCTGAGGAAACAAACAGCGGCGAGGAAACAAAATCCTGATCTGTTTAAGTTTTTGAGCACTGAGGAAAAATTTCAAAGAGAATAATAAAATTTGGGAACAAAATATAAAATGAGGGGCTGGAGCAATAGCACAGCGGGTAGGGCATTTGCCTTGCACGCGGCCAACCTGGGTTCCATTCCCAGCATCCCATACGGTCCCCTGAGCACCACTAGGAGTAATTCCTGAGTGCAGCCAGGAGTAGCCCGTAGACCCTGTACATCACCAGGTGTGACCCAAAAGAGCAAAAAAAAAAAAAAAAATATATATATATATATATATATATACACACACACATATGTACAAAAAAAATGTCTACTGTCTTATTCCAGTTTTCCCACAAAGAATGTTAAGAAATGTCTCAGACTAATTATTGAGGTTAGAATAACAGTTTATCAATATACAAATTCTTGTCCTTTGTACACTGTTGTAATCAGATCTATTTATGGAACTCTTTAAAGTTCACTTGTTTGGGTTCTTTTTACAGATAATGGTTACAATAAACAGAAGTAATCATTTTTTTAAAAAAACTATGTGATTTGGTATGCAATGTAGTTTGACTATTAAAAAATTTGGAGGGAGGGGGTCCTCCCAAGTGGTGCCTAGGATGTATCTGGGATTCTTGGCCAATATTCAGTGGTTCAGTGCAAGGACCCCTGAAAATGCCCCACACAGTGCTAGGGATACCACTTGGAGTGGGGATGAGGGGTGGTGACATGCAGAACATGTGCTGCAGGAATCAAACCCAGGTGATTGCATGCCAGGCATGTACCTAGCCGCTGTACTATATGTCCCGTTTCTTAAAATCTGAAAATTTTAAGTGACCTATTTTTTAAATCTGGCTGAGTTAATGTTTTGAAGTATGTGCAATTTTAGCAGATTCCGTTGGTGAATATGCCATATGGTACAGCCTTGTTTATTTATTCTCTAAGCTAAAAATTACCCTCCCAAATGTCTCCAGTATCTTAAAGAAGCTTCTTGGTATCAACATGGATAATAAATAAACCTCAGCTGTGTGTGAGTTCAACTGTGCAGGTTAGTTTCATTAAGTCACCAGGAACCCCACAGTACAAGTCATGAGGCAACACCCCACTTCAACTGCGGCCGCTTGGATTTTACTGCTGCTGGTTACAGTAAGTTGCCAGGGAAGCAGATAATGATGGAGGAAACTTTATTGTCAATACTGCAAAGTATCCTTGGACCAGAGCATCGGAGAGCAGCTGACGTGTCTCTGGCAAGCATGTGATGTTCATCAATGTCTCACTTTTATGCTTACATGCTTATATGCTCAAACTCATTCAGGTATATATTTTTATGATTTATCACAGTAAGGTATTATTTTTCCCTTTTTATAAGAAAAAGTCATCAATTCCAGTTACTGGTAAAGGTATCAATGTTGACAGTAAAAATATACTCTCTTGGTTGAAGGCAATTTAACAATGTTCAAAAAAAAGCAAGCGTGAAAAATGGCAGAGACAGGACAGACAAGGCACAAAGGGGTAGGCACATGGCTGACAAGTACAAGGCACAGAGTCTGATCCCTGGCACCACATGATGTCAGACTCACTGACCTGTTGCAGTGCCAGGGACACTGAGTTATTACACCCACCGAGCCTAGGCAGGTAATGTCACTGGGTGGGCCCCTATAAAAAGAAACCGTAAGGGGCCAGAGCAATCGTGCAACAGGTAGGGCATTTGGTTTGCACGTGGTCCACCTGGGTTCAATCCTCGGAACCCATATGGTTTCCTGAGCCCACCAGGAGTGACTCCTGAGCACAGAGTGAGGAGTAAGCCCTGAGCACAGCCAGGCGTGCCCCCCAAAAGAAATAAAATATTAATAATAATATGTAATTCTCCTTTTAAGAAAAAGGATAATTTAAAATGCAAATGCTGAAAGATGCAGAAATGTTAATAGTATAAAAAGTTAAAAAATTCATAGGTAGTTCCACAAAAACCTGCCAGTGACATTTATGTAGGGATATAGAAAACTGCATATAGTATGATTAATATCGGGTAAAAAAAAAAGTTAAGGTAAATAAAATTACAAGTGAGTCTATGCATATGTTTTTGATTTCTTTTGATAACTACTAAAAACTATGAAAATATATCCTTCTGGAGAGAATGACAAAGTGCCAGGGAAAAATAGCTCTGATTTTCATTTCCTTTCCATGGTTCATAGAATTTCATTTTTAACAAAAATAAAAAATACAAAGTGATTGGGAGTGATACTATAAACTTAAAAATATTGCTCTGAATTCATAAAAAAAAAACTCATGATCTTAATTCTAGTTATTCATTTATCCATTCATTTATTATTCTGGAGGGAATAATATATTCATATATCATTACCAGCGGTGAATAGGGGCTGCCAGTCTAGCGGGTCTGATGGGGCCTTCAGTACTCCAAGCATGCTCTGCAGTTCTTAGAATGGTCTACCTGATCTGACCTTATTATTTTTTGTGGTGCTGGAATCTGATCCAGGGCCTCACACATGCAAAGTGCTGTACTGCTAAACAACAACCCCATTCCCCAAGCTTACTTTTAAAAAGACAACTGCTTGTCCATCTGTTTCTCACTCTTTACTATGTGAGATTAATAATAAATGCGACAACTATAGCTCACTCACTACTGTACAACTCTTTAAAATAACAATCTTACAAAATGACCTTTAAAGGCACAGGTCAGTGACCTTTGTGTTGGCCAGATGGCACGTTATCCTCATGAGAGGCCATCCGGTCTCTGCCGCAACCACGCAACTGTGCTGTAGCAGCGTAAAAATAAACAAACGGGGGTGGTTGTGTTCTGATAAAACTCCATATGCAGTCTGTGGATGAAATTAGGTTTCCAGGCTGGAGTCTGTCATCTCTCTGCTTTAAACCATGATCATTCTATGTGAAAATCTCTGAGCTGTTCCTCTACCACCTTTCTGCCCGCCAGCTCCTGGGCCCTGGGGAGGACCCAGCAGGCTAAAGAGTTGGGAATTCTTTGTCCGATGGTGGCAGAATTCCTTTTGCTACTTGGAAATGAAGGAGCACCTCACACTGCTCATGTCTGAGTGAATCTCGAGGCTGGAGAGACTGCTCAGGGGGATGGAGCTCAAGCTCAGCATGGAGCGGCCCAGTTCCAGACCAGACATCACACGGTCACCTCCAGGCTCCTCCCAAGCACAGAGCCGGAAGGAGCCCTGAGCACTCCTGGGAGCAGCTCCAGCCCTTTATTTAATAAAGGAACTGGCAGAGGAACCCAGGTGTGCGGGACCCGGGGCTAAGATCTCCAAGTCTGCTCCAATCGGGACGGGGCCTCCTCCACCCAGATCCCCCATCTTCCAGTAGCTAGGCGTTACACCCACCAACTTCCCCCGGCGTCGTGTTATCCCACCAACGGCCAAGACCCAGGGACTATAAAACCCAGCTCCTGGAAGACCTCTCATTATCTAGTTCTCATTCTTGGAGAACCCGGCAGGCTACCGAGAGTATCCTGCCCGCACGGGAGAGTCTGGCAAGCTCCCCATGGCGTATTCAATATGCTAAAATCCAGTAACAATGATGGGTCTCATTCCCTTGACCCTGAAGGAGCCTCCAATGTGGCACTTTCTAAAATCTAAGGGCTAGGACGAATGGAGACGTTACTGGTGCCTGCTGGAGGAAATCGATGAACGGGATTGACAGTGATACAGCAATTTAATAAACTCTAGCCTGTCACGTTAAAAAAAAAAAGGAGCATTTTAATAACTTTTCCTGATAAGAACAGGAGTTTATTTGGATTCTATACAAGTGGTAGTTTCTTACAATTAACTTCAATGTGGAATTTGAAAGCAAGGAAAGTTTATCACTGATGACAGACTTTTAGAACTGATACATAAAATCCCATTGATCTATCTTAGACTTTGCCTTTAATTTTCACCCATGTATGATTCTTGGATTTGTGCACTTGTCATTTGAGAATTACAAAAGCACTTTTTGTTGTTGTTGGTTTTTTTTTTCCCTTTTTGGGTCACACCCAGCAATGCTTATTGGAAGAGACACCGGCGTTTCCTGCAATGCAATGCCAGGGGCTACTCCTGGCTCTGCACTCAGGAATTACACCTGACAGTGCTTGGGGGACCAGATGGGACGCTGGAGATTGAACCCAGGTCGGCCGCGTGCAAGGCAAATGCCCTACCCGCTGTACTACAAAACCCCTACATAACCACTTATACTTACATTCTTTACCTGGAATATGGATTAAAATCTCAAAACATCACATTTTCTGGTATTAGCATAGATCTTACCACTAAAGTCTTCATATACTTGTGAAGTTAAAAACAAAATTCTAGCTTTCAATTTTAAAGCTTCAGTTTTATCACTTGTAAGAAAAGCTGTCACGCTGTTTTCCCTAAAGTGACAGGCTCCTTTCATTCATTTTCATGAAAATGTTTGCTAGATCCTCCAATCTGAATAACCACAGCTTATTTGTCAGTGGACTGCCAAGTTCAGTCTGCAAGTCAAACTATCTGGAGTGCTTTTCCGGAAACAGCCATCATACTTCAGTACGCAGTACAGATACGACAGAGTGTTTTCCATTTGATCATATTGATTATGATAAAGATTCGCCAAGGGCTCAAGTTTAGATTTCATTTGATTCATTAGCCAAGCTTATTGGAAGAGACACCGGCTTTTCCTGCAAGTATATGGCAGTGAAGAACACAACCACCAATTTACATGGGTGTCTCTGCCTTCATCAGTGCTGATATACTGGCACAAAGGCCCATTAGAGCATTCGCACAAAGGCCCATTAGAGCATTTAGTGTAAATGCTAACACAGAGAAAAAGAAAAAAAAAAGTTTCAATATATATTTTTCTTTTTGGGTCACACCCGGCGATGCACAGGGGTTACTGCTGGCTCTGCACTCAGGAATTACTCCCAGCGGTGCTCAGGGGGCCATATGGGATGCTGGGAATCGAACGTCCTCCCCGCTGTGCTATCACTCCAGCCCCAAATGTTTCAATATGATTCAGTTTTTACTTCACTGACCTTTTGAAAAGATATTGAGCAATCTCATGGCTGTCAAACTATACTCTGAAAATTGCTTATACGATGTATTTTACAATCATGCAAAATCAATGGTTAATATACCTATGTGTTGGCAATGCTGGAAGTATTGACGTGGTCTTTTACTTTTTTTTAGCTTATCTTTTTTCTTTAGCAGGACATATACTCTAGAAGATTTTAAAATGATAACACATTTAAAAAAAAATAGGCTACTATACCAAAGGAAAAAGTCTTAAAGTTGATAATTCTTACAGGAAGGTAAGGTGCTAACGCCCCACAAGATTCGGCCACAAGTAATCGTCTTTCTGGATATTTGTGATTAATCTGAAATGACAACAAAGGAAAAAAAAGCATAAAAAACATTATCTTCCTTTGCAACAGAGCTATTTTCCCCCAGTCCCTGCCAAGAATGAAATAGAGCTTCTTTCTTTCCCACTCTGGGGATCCCCGCGAGCCGTCCCTAGAGCAGGAGTCAGGAGTCAAGAAGACACTAGCAAGTGAGGCAAGGGGTTGATCTGTGAAGGAAAAGAGGATAAAGCAAAGAGGAAAACTTGGCACGGTATCTAGAAATCACGGATTCTCCTAAAACAGGACTTTCTTGGGAAATGAGAAGAAAGTTCGGATCCCTCCCTAGTAGTATTAGTAATCTGGAAACCCAGGTTTCTGGAATCTATAACTATCTATATATCTGTATCTATCTATCTGTCTGTCTGTCTGTCTATCTATCTATCTATCTATCTATCTACATACAGTCCATTCTATGTGCTAGAAATGACTTATTAGTCTACTTTATAGCCTAAGGGAGTAAGACGTGAGTTAAACAATAACTGACTCAATAACTCAATATGATGTGGTTTTGCTTTTATAGTAAAATCTCCAACAACTCCTGTATGCATAAGATTTGGGGTTTTCTACTGTGGTTATACTGAATCATAAAAAACAAACAAAAACCCAACAAAAAACCAGACACATACTGGGTTTTGTTCCCATATCTTATCTTCATAGAATAGAAATTTTTCTTTGACTGGAAAACAAGCATATCTGTTCTCATATTCCCATATGAAAAGGTGACATAATTCATGAATGTATTGGATGCCTAAAATTAAAAAAAGAAAATAATAATCTACTAAAGTAACAAACTGGAGCTATATGGTTAGATAGATTCCCAATATCCATAGTTATTCAAGTCACAGAAGAAGTATTCTCCAATTAAACTACAATAAATTTAATGCAGTCTTTGTTTTTTAACTTTTAATATATATATATATATTTTTTCTTTTGGGGGGAGCCCAAAATTAGTGCTTAGAGGGCCCAAGAGCTATGCCTGGAGATGCTTGGTCAACTGGCCCCACGGCTCAGTGTCAGAACCTGACAATGCAGTGCAGCATAAGGCATGCAGTGCCAAGGGTCACCAGGTCACATTCAGCAGTATTCAAGCCTCCAGGGCTACCTTCCGGTGATGCTCAGGAGGCCAGGTGGTGCTGAGGGATTGAACCTGAGTCAGGTGCATGAAAACCATGAGTCCTAATCCCTGTAGTGGTACCTTCCTGGAAGCCCTCAAAAGAAACTTTACAAGAAATTCAGCTGGCTTTCTAGAAGAAACTGACAAACTGATATTAAAATTTGCATGGGACCCACCTCCCTTCTTGGTACTTCGGAAGCCCCAACAGTCACACCCATGAACCACCTCTAGCGCCATGTTAATTCATCTACTGGCCTTGCTCCAGAGACTCCTAAATAAATCTTGAAAGAGATCAACCAGTGCCCAAAATCCTTCAGACACCAGTGCATGGCCGAGACATCGGGAAACCCAAAGAGGGGCGGGCCAGGCCAGGTCCCACCCAAACAAGAGCCCGGCAGCTGCTCACTCCCATGCTGCAAAATTGCTGCTATGCCTCCAGCTGGACTCCCTTGCCTCAGGAATGAGCCTCACCCAGAAATAAACCTGCGGAAAATTCAAGTAGGAGGGTCTTTGTGACTGAACTCTCCAGGCTTTTGCGGGGTCAGGATGGGCTATGTCCCCCTCCTCCCTGTACTTCCAGAAGCCCTGACAGTCACGTCCAAACCCTAACGCTGCTGCCCAGTTAAAAATTTAACTCCAGCTGTACCATTCAGTTAAAAATTCTGGACTTTTGGTGGGTGGGACGGATACTGGGATCAGTGGTGTTAGAGAATGGGCACTGGTGGAGGTATGGGTATTCGATCATTGTATAACTGAAACCCAAGCACAAAAATTTGTAAATTGACAACTGTACCTCATGGTGTTTCACTAATAAAAATTTAAGGAGAAAAAAAAAACAAAGAACAAACAAACAACAAGAAAAAAAGCCAAGGATACAGAAAAATTAGTGGACAAGAGCCAAGCATTTAAATACTGTTAGAATGATTGCCACCTCACAGAGGAAGACTCACATGAAAGGATAAGTTGGTCATGGAACAGGATGAGACTGGCATCTGACTACTATAAGAAAATGCCCATTCATCTGGAGACATACATAATTAAACAACACATTCTCTACCACAAGATTTACCCCTCCTAGTTATAAGTTTTCACTCCAGGAAATTCAAGGCTTAGCTGAATATTTTAAACACTTAAATAATTGCATTCCCATAGTACTGCAATAAAAATTGATTGAAGCCAGAAACTGGAAGAAACCTGAGTGCCCAAGAACAGAGGATGGTTAAAGAAACTTTGGTACATCTACACAATGGAGTACTATGTAGCTGTTAGAAAAAATAAAGTCATGAAATTTACGTACAAGTGGTACAACATGGAAAGTATCATCCTAAGCGAAATGAGTCAGAAAGAGAGGGATAGACATAGAAAGATTGCATTCATCTGGGGGATATAAAGTAACAAAATAGGAGATTAATACCTAAGAATAGCTGAGATCAGCACCAGGAGGATTACTCCATAGCTTAGAGGCCAGCCGGGCATTCTAGGGGAAAGGGCAGCTCAGATAGAGAAGGGAGCACCAAATAAAGGGTGTTTGGAGGATTCTCCCAGGAGGGGAGATGCATGTTGAAAGTAGACTATGGACTGAACATGTTTGCCACTCGATCCCTCTTTTGCAGGCCACAGCACCCAAAAGGAGAGAGAGAACAAAAGGGAATGCCCTGCCACAGAGGCAGGGTGGGATGGAGGAGGATGGGGGGTGGGAGGGATACTGGGATCAATGGAGGTGGGAAATGGGCACTGGTGGAGGGATGGGTACTCGATCATTGTATAATGAAACCCAAGCACAAAAATTTGTAAATCTACAACTGTACCTCATGGTGTTTCACTAATAAAAATTAAAAAAAAAAATTGATTGAAAAAGGAAGTACAGAAAGGGGGCACAAGTAGGTAACTCTTTAGCATACACATTATGAAGCTATGAAATTAGTCTTCCAAATGTAGAAAGCCAACAGCTGTCAATTATGGAATTAGTAAGTCTCAACTAAGGACTAAAAATTTGAATTTAGGAAAGTTCTCTTTATGTAATTAGGGGAAAACCTGAGATAGTTACTAACCTGTTCCCAGCACTGTGGCAAAAGCTCTGCCTCCACACGTGTTGGTCCAACGTGACGCGCAAACGCCACACAGCCTGTGAGGATCATTTGCCTGGAGACAATACAAAGAAAGCTTCACATTCACACGAGGAAGCGCAAGTAGAACTGGGGTAAAAATATTCAGTTCTATAAATCACATCAAGAACAATCTTTTTGTGCAACAAATGAGTCTTCTGTAGCCTGTCCCGGGTGGATCAGCCCCAGCCCCCTACCCCCTAGCAGAAGCATAATCTGAGAGAGAGATATTGGAAAAGAGCCTTGATCAAAACACCCTACGCTAATGTGGGCATTCTGAATTCCAAGAATGCCCAACGCTTCACCTGCTACCAAACCAGCACCGATTATTTTTCCACCATTTCCAAAATTAAAAATCATGAGGCTGCTGTGATGAAGCAGTGCTTTTTACATCAGATGTTTAAGCACTGCAGGTCAGGTGGGAGCGAGTGAGTGCTTCTGACACGGCTGCTGATCATGTCGCCCTCTGGATTTTCATGCCACTGTGATCCCTGGTGTGGAGATCTACACACCGATGTGTAGAGTGAAACCCAGACTCTTTTTGGGGGGACCTCCAACGAGGTACTGACCATTGTGGAACAGACCCCTCCCAGTGACTCTTGGCCACCAAGCCAGCAGATGTGGGGCTGCTTGGGTCCTGCAGGGCCAAACCCAGTAGTGCTCCAGCGGGGTACCCAGTGATGCTTCGAGCACCTCGAGGTGCAGGGGATGGGTTAGGGCCAGCCCCACGCATCGGGCACTCTCTCCAGCCTGTGAAGCTCCCTTCTAATGGACAAAATTACGGTCAAAGTGAAGGATGCCACTGCCGAGACTGGGAAACTGCCGTGCTTTAAGGCGGTACGCTGCCACACTGGCGAGGCCTCCAGGGAGCCTCTGGCCAGCTGTCAGCGAGGAACCGAGGCCCTTGGCTCAGAAATCCTTGGGGAACTGAATCCTACACCCAAACCCAGCCACGTGAAGAGTGCTCAGAGGCGATGATGCTCCAGCAGACCCTTGATGTGACCAACTGTTATGCTTCTTAAAAAGAGAAACAAGATTTATCACTCTTCCAAATGAAGGTCCATTATTAAAATGACTTCAATATGCGGAAATGTAAGTTTCTCCCTCTTTACAATGCTTCAGTAAAATGACTAAAATATAAAGTTGGTATCAATAAAAATTAAATTAGAATATTTAATTTGTAATAATTATAAAGTCAACAATTCACTTCTAGGCATTGCTCACAAATAATGTCAGTTTAATAGAAACTGCAGAATGAAGGTTGGAGCGATAGTACAGTGTGGAGGGCATTCGCCTTGCGTAAGGCTGAACCGGGTTCAATCTCCAACATCGCATATGGTCCCCTGAGCAACACCAGAAGTAATTCTTAAATGCAGAGCCAGGAGTAACTCCTGAGCATCGCTTGGTGTGACCCCCCCCCCCAAAAAAAAGCCAAAAGATGAAGAGAAAAAAAAAACTGCAGAATGACTGAACTTCTATTTAGAAAAAGCAAATTAGTCATATTACCTGTTATCTCAGTTTGAAGAAAATAGTAAGAACACCACCAAGAGTAGAAATGCTGGGTTGATGTGTCAGACATCAACCATACATTCAACCCACTTTCCATAACCTGGTAAATATTTTTTTGTCTTTTTGGGTCACGCCTGGCATTGCACAGGGGTTACTCCTGGCTCTGCACTAAGGAATCACTCCTGGCGGTGCTCAGGGGACCACATGGGATGCTGGGGATTGAACCTGAGTTGACTGTGTGCAAGGCAAATGCCCTCCCCGCTGCCCTATCACTCTGGCTCCCACCTGTAAAAGTTTTGCAGTGCTAGAGACTGAGCCCAGCACAGCCTGTGCTCAACTCCTGGGCCACATCCCAGTCTCTCCTGCAATTTTTATAACAGGGAATTCTTACTCCCTGTTACATTTATATCATTTTCTTCTATGATTATTTCTCAATTTTTCTTCTTTGCTATTTCCTTCTAAGAAGGTAAGTAAAGTGAATCTAAGAAAAAATGGGAAAACAAATCCTCAAAGTTTACAGACGGCCCTTTAGCTGCCTGCTAAGTGTTTTTGCTTCCACCAGTTTCTTGAAATAATGTGACACACAGAGGTTCTGTGTTTTGTAATTGAGATAACTCAAACCTGGTGAAATTTAGGCCTCTCAAATACTGCAATTATGCTAAGTTAAAATTTCTGTTTGGTTGATTTGCTTTTCATGTTAAAATCAACTGACTAGTCTATTTAGATAAATGTGCACCCGAATGGTGAAATATTTAACAATAGCATGAGTCCTTCTTTCTGACATCTCAACCTTGAAGTAAGACTATCAGGTACCCTCAGGGTTGGAAAGATAATACAGGGGTTAGGTACTTTTGCTCACGGGCAGTTGAACCCTGTCTGATCTTCAGCACTGCTGGAGCAACCTCTTCCACAGAGCTGGGAGTAGCCCTAGAGCAAGGGCCCTGCAGCTCACGGACTTCTGTCCACTAGATGGCAGCTCTTCATTTTACATGTAGAATCTGTGAAAACTGACTAAAAGGACCAAGGTTTTTGTCTTACAAATCTAAAAGAAGGTAAAGTAATAAACGCTATTTAATGACTAAGTTACAAGATCAGAAATAGCATTTCTTTAAGAGAAAATAAAATACTAACTTTCCGATCAGCATCAAACTGCCAGAGAAGTTCCAATTTGCCATAAGTGAAAGGCACTAACATAGTACTTCATTTGTAATTTATTTCTTATTTGTACATGACTGGCATGGGAAGGCTGTTGTGGAGATTAACTGGAACTTACCTGGTCTACCTATCCACTAACCAGGACTAGTTTGTTTCACATAAATACATACATAAATAGCCTCATTTTTGTTTAGGTTTTTCTCTTCGAGGTGGATATTCATTAGTTACTTGATCAAAATCCATCTGCCTCTCTTTTGGGAAGACACCTGGATGTGTAACCTATTTCCTTGCCATTCTCAGGGAAATCCATTTCTTTACCACAGCCCTGTGGCAATCTGACTCAGGACTAAGCAAAACAAATCACTGCATCTCCCCTGCTCATATAAGCTTTGATTTGGACCTTGATTACTGAAGTACTAATTTATGCATCAAAAACTTTATTCCTTGTAACCATTAATAGGTTATAGTGTATCTAGTTCATTTTGTAGAAATAAGGGAAATATTCAGGAGTTCTTAGAAACAGGAAGTGAAAGATAAAGGCAAAGAAATACTTGATTCAGAAATCAAGTTCAAGGTAATTAACTGAAAAACAACAACAAAAACACTGCAGAGCTGAATGGGGTGAATATTTCTTCTGTTTATTAAAATAGATCAAAAAAAGCATTCAGATTAAAAGGTCATTCTGATGCCAAATTAGTAAAATCAGTAAGTCACATTACATTCATTTTCCAAGGACATAGTCCTACCCACCTCTGCTCATCATCTGGTCTCTTGATCAAATTGAAAAGTATGTGGAGAAGCTGATCTCGCTCTTTCGGCTCAGGATGAAGGCAAGCTGTACACAGTATGAGGGGGATCAACTCCTACAAAAACACCAAGGTGAAAAATTCAAAGTAAAATTACATAACAGTATTCTCCCCCCCCGCCCCCCCCCACCTCAGGCCATTCTTAAATGGACATATAAAATGAAATAAACCTTAACACAGAAAACAACAAAAAGCAGTAAACTTACTAATTCAAGAGGAAATACTGAAAAATGTATTTATATGTTGGTTGTACAGATGGTGTAAATTACAAAGTAATGAAGCCGCTTGACATTCAACTGACACGCTTTCTTATCGGCACTTCTGGTGGGTCTACTACTAAGATAATTTAGCAATTTTAATTTTGAAAGTGCTTTGATATTAAAAAAAATTAGTCCTTGTTTTGGAGTCACACCCAATAGTGTTTAGGGATCACTCCTGACGGAGTTTGAGGGACCATATGTGGCGCTGGCGATTGAACCCAGGTCAGCTGCGTGCAAGGCAAGCACCTAACCTGCTGTGTTTTCTCTCTGGTCCCTTGGAAGTTGTAGAAGTATATTTTGAAATTTAAGAAGGTAACCTACTTTTGCACCTGTCACGTCTATGTCAGGAGCCTGGAGGTACGAAATCAAGTACGCGTTTCTCTGACTATAGCAATTTCATTAGAAGAGCTAAAAGAACCTTTCGGGGAAGAGGAAGATTTCCCTTCCACACAGTCAAGCATTAATGACAAAAGAGCTATAAAATCATAATTACTTTAAACCATGCCTCAGCTTCTGAGAGTACTTAGTAAATATGTGTGAGAGTGAAATACAAAACTGGCTTTCTACTGACCACTAAAGAGGGAATTAATTTTGCTGACCTATTGAGCAGGTTATTCAAATACATTAATACCCAGTTAGAAAAGACTTTCAGAATTCACAGAAGTCTTTCAGAATTCACTGAAAGGCTTATAACTTTTAACTTTACAGAGCAAATGATTTTTAACTGTTTACTTTTACAGTTTTAATAAAAAACTAGTTTTTTAAAAATATGAAAGAGCTTTCAGTCTTTAAGTGTTAGATTACCCATAAAATTTAGGTAAAATTAAAGTCCAAGTTTTCAGCATTTTATTCTTTCAATTTTACAAGCAAAACAAAATTCAAATGATAACAGAAAGATCAGTTTAGTGACAGTAAATGTTTTTAGACATTTCACATTTAATTCAAATATTTTTACTGAACTTTCATACTCATGAAAGTTTTCTCAAGTTATGTCCTAGGTACAGCCTATTTTTTCAAGACTTTATCATGAGTTCTTTAATTCTTAACAACAACAAAAAACCCTGGGAGTATAAAATTAGTGTGTGTTCAGATTATATAAACAGAAAACAAAAATATTCAAAGAATCTAAAAACATGTGAACTGACTCGATGTACTGGAAGAAAAGTGGTTTGAGAAAAGTAGGGAATGAAATTAAAGGCAAATTTTCACATAAAAAATATGCAAATGCGGGCAAGGCATTGCCAACAAGTTAGGAATCTAAATCCAAAAAGAGAGTATTAAAAAATACATATATTTGTATCTCAAGAGGCATGGAGTAAATGTTGTCCAGGAAGCGAAATTTGAAAGGTAACAAATAGTTCAATAAATTATTGTTCACTGCTTTCCCTCCCGGTTTCATCATTTCCTATTATTCAAGCCTCATTTAAAAGTTTTAAACAGCTATTTAAAATGTTCCCATCTAATCTTTTGCCTAACAATTGAGCAATAATTCAAGTTCTGACAAGATACAAAGAGGAAAAAAAATTACAGACTTAAAAGGATGCAAGATTACTCACCTCTGGAAAAATTTTACACTTTAAAGGTAACTAAAACAACTATTTCTTATTATTAATGTACGTATTAGGCTGGAGCGATAGCACAGCGGGTAGGGCGTTCGCCTTACACGCGGCCAACATGGCCGACCCAAGTTCGATTCCTCCGCCCCTCTTGGAGAGCCCGGCAAGCTACCGAGAGTATTCGATATGCCAGACACAGTAACAACAAAGTCTCCAATGGAGACGTTACTGGGCCCGCTCGAGCAAATCGACGATCAACGGGAGGGCCTTTACCTTTTACCTTAATGTACGTATTAATACATAAGTATTAATTATTAATACAGTAGTAGTAGTAGTAATACACAATTATTAATACTCCTTTATCTCTGCAATGTACTATACTTCATAGCAGCCTGAAATCGCGGATAGTGTCAGGGACAGGACCCACTAACTGTACCAAGGGTCCAGCCCAGAGTCTCACACCAGAGAATGCTCTACTACTGAGTCACATCCTTGTTTTTTCCTAAACATAGACATAATAATTAATCATTATTATCCGAACTCTGAGCCAGGCTGTTTTCACGCAGGGCGCCCCACAGGGAGGTGGGTGAGAGCCCGCCCTGCCCCAAGGGACCCAGCCCCAGCAGCAGATCGCCACTACCCAACCGCCGCCATGCTCCAGGCCGCTTTCCTATGACACTTCCTACCCATTTTCCATAATTTTCACACCATATTTGATAGGGTTCAGACAGTGCGCAACAAATCAGAGAGTATTATACATAGAGGTGTGTATGTGTGTGTGTGTGTGTATACACACACACACACACACACACACCCCTCTCGGAGAGTCTGGCAAGCTACCAAGAGTATCCCGCCTGCACGGGCAGAGCCTGGCAAGCTCCCCGTGGCGTATCTGATTTGCCAAAACATTCCCCTGACCCTGAAAGAGCCTCCAATCGTTGGGAAAGACGAGTAAGGAGAGGCTGCTAAAATCTCAGGGCTGGGAGGAATAGAGATGTTACTGGTGCCCGCTCGAGTAAATCGCTGAACAACAGGATGACCGTGATACAGTGATAGACATAATAAAATTAAATTTAAGAATTAGACACAGGGGGCTGGAGAGATAGCACAATGGGTAGGGCGTTTGCTTTGCACGTGGCTGACCCGGGTTCGATTCCCAGCATCACATATGGTTCCCTGAGCAACCCAGGAGGAATTCCTGAGTACAGAGCCAGGGTAACCCCTGTGCATTACCAGGTGTGACCCAAAAAGCAAAATGAATTAGACACAGTTAAGAAATTAATAACTGCTAAGAATAGAATAAATCTATGGCAATAAAACTTAGGTGAATGTGGTCTCTTTCTCAATATATCTTATTGAACATAGTATTTCACACTGTGGCCGACACTAATTAAAACTGTGGATGAGAAGTCATGGATAACGGGGGGAAAGCTGTATCTATAATTTCTGAAACTTAACACTTAGGAAGCTTAACTGAAATACTTAGGACATTACCACATAAAAAACTCCTCCCCTCACAAAACAGGCAAAGAAGATGAACCAACTTACCAAGCTATTTTACCAGGCTCTTTAGTTTATCGTAATTATCCTCAATATTACTGTATAACCTTTACTGCTACAATTTCCCGCAACTAAGTTAAAAAATTGTCTATGAAGCAAAAATCAAGGGCAATGATGAAGAACAAATCTTTCTTTTTCAGAAGATGAGCATGTCCTTAGCACTGCTTCTTAAACTTTCAGGGGATTGTTTTTCTCCTCTGCTTAGAAGTTTTTATGAGGTAATTTTACATATCACAAAATTCTTCTATTTAAAACATACACCCAGGGTTTCTTTTTAAATGTATTCAGAGTCAAGTAATCATAATCAACGTAATTTTTGAAATGTTTCTGACATCCCCCAAAGTAAGTTCTAACTTATTCCCCATTTCACACACTCCACCTCACCCGGGCCCACATGCCTCTCTTCCTGTACCACCCTGGCTAAGTGACTCCATGTTTCCTTGGAGCAGAATGAAAGGAAATTAAATTTGGATCAACTATTTAAAAATGCTGGGGCTGGAGCCATAGTGCAGCAGAGAGGGCACTTGCCTTGCATGTGACTGACCTGAGTTCAATCCTTGGCACCCCACATAGAGCCATGTGGTTCCCCAAGTCCTGCCAGGAGTGATCCCTGAGCACAGAGCCAGGAGTAATCCTTGAGCACCACCGGGGAGGGGTATGTCCAAAAGAGTCAAAACCAACCAACTGATAACAACCAAAAGAAAAAGTGAGATGGAAGAATTTCTATCTTCCAGGTAGAGCGATAGCACAGCGGTAGGGCGTTTGCCTTGCACGCAGCCAACATGGCCGACCCGAGTTCGATTCCTCCGCTCCTCTCGGAGAGCCCAGCAAGCTACCGAGAGTATCTCACCCGCATGGCAGAGCCTGGCAAGCTCCCCGTGACGTATTCGATATGCCAGACACAGTAACAACAAAGTCTCCAATGGAGAAGTTACTGGGCCCGCTCGAGCAAATCGATGATCAACGGGAGGGCCTTTACCTTTACCTTTACCTCAGAGAGTATGCATTAGCCCAATACCCAAATTAATCAAAGATGGTACAACTGATGACTATCGAGCAACATGCACCATACAATACTAATACCAAATCCAATACTAATACCAAATCCAACAGCATCTTAAAAAAAAAAATCTACACAAAACAGAGGTGATCTCTCTGAGGTCTGGAGTGATGCTGGAGCCCTGGGTTCAACCCCGGTACTTCACTGTTTCCTGAGCACCTCCAGAAATAAAACCCCGGCACAAAGCCAGGAGTGCTGTGAACACCATGAGATATGGCCCCGTTAAAACCATGGCCATGTGTTCCAGGAAGGCAAGGGGTTTTTGACATCAGCAACAATCTAATCAATATAGAAAACTAACATAATATGATAAAGGGCACTTATGAAAACCCACAGTTAACATCAAACGCAATTTAAAAGCGTCAGGGCTATCCTTTATCCTATCCAAGATGAGGAACAAGACAAAAATATCTGTTTTCTCCAACACTGCTATTCAGAGGTCGCAGATATGGCTCTCGTGGTCTGGCACATGGCTAGCATATCCCTGAGTTTGACCCCTAGCACCGCATGGTGCCCTGAGCACTGCTGGGTATGACCTCTCTAGAAAAACAGAAACAAAACAAACAAAAAGCTACTGTTATTCACTTAAGTACTGAGCAACTGAGCAAGAGGAAGAAATAAAATCCATTCATGTGGGAGAGAAACAAAACTGCATTTGCAATAATGTGATTTTATATATAGAAAAATCTCAATACACACAAAATTAAATAAATTGAATAAAACTTCTAAGTAGATTCAGCAAAATCAAAGGGGTTCACATTTAATAAAAATTAGTTTTGTTTCTAAATGCCAACAATAAAAACCTCAAAATAAAATTAAAGAAGCAATTACATTTACAATAGCATACTGTCATAAAGTCCTAAACTCAGAAAACTATCCCAATAATAAAAACTGATGAATAAATTTCAACAAGGAATTGAAAGACTTGATTATTCAACAGGGAAACAATTTCTTTTCAATTGAAACACTAAATAATTACAAGAAAAGATCCATGTCTCATTACTTATTTAAAAAAACAACCTCAAAATAGTTCTATAATGAAATCTAAGGGTAGAAAACTATATACCGTTTTGTTTTCTGGCCACAGCCAGGAGTGGTCAGGGCTTACTTCTGTCTCTGCACTCAGGGATCACTTTTGGTGGTGCTCAGGAATCATCTGGGATATCAGATATCACACCTGGGTTGGTTGTGTATAAAGCAAATGCCCTAACTGCTGTACTATCACTTGGACACTGAAGCTACTTTATTATTTATTTATTTTGCTTTTTGGGTCACACCCGGTGATGCACAGGAGTCACTCCTGGTTCATGCACCCAGGAATCACTCCTGGCGGTGCTCAGGGTACCATATGGGATGCTGGGGATCGAACCCGGGTTGGCCACGTGCAAGGCTATTTCACTGAAGCTACTTTTAAAAGGTGTGCGTGTGTGTGAATCTTTCTGACTTCAGGTTTGAAAATGGCTTCTTAACATTTTACACCAAAATAACAAGCAGCAAAAGAAAATAATAATTAAAATTCACAAAAAAACAAAACATCTGTCCACGATCAGGAAGAACAGAATCGAGATTGTGGGTGGGATACTATAGTAACTAAGGTAGAAAGGCACTTGCCTTGCATGTGGTTCACCCAGGTTCAATCCCAAGAACCCCATAACGTCCCCTAAGCCCTGCCAGAAGAGATCCCTAAATGTGATCCCTAAGAGCAGAGTATGCCCTGAGCACAACTGGGTGCGGCCCAAAAACCGAAAAAGAAAAAAAAAATATATATATAGTATGAAGAACGCAAAAACATTTTATAAAAATGGAGAAAATATTTGTAAATTAAATTTGTGAGAAAAATTTAATATTCAGAATTACCAAAATTTTTATAAATCAAAAACAAAGAAATCCAGTTTAAAAATGGGCAAAAGGACACCAGAGTGATAGTCCAGAAGTCGGATGTTTACCATGAATATGGCCAACCTGAGTTTGTCCCTTGCATCCCTGACGGTCCCCAGAGCACTACCAAGAGTAACCTGAGTGCAGAGCCAAGATTAACCCCTGAGATCACCAGATGAGGCCCAAAACTCCCCCTAAAACCAAATGGGGAGCAGGGAGGGCAAAAGATTTGATGACAGGGGCTGGAGCAATAGCACAGCGGTTAGGGTGTTTGCCTTGTATGTGGCCAACCCAGGTTCGATTCCCAGCATCCCATATGGTACCCTGAGCACCGCCAGGAGTGATTCCTGGGTGCATGAACCAGGAGTGACTCCTGTGCATTACCAGGTGTGATCCAAAAAAGCAAAAAAAAAAAAAAAAAATTGATGACAAACCATGTGAAAGTATTAATCAAAACCTTAAACCTGTTTCTTGTATTTTATTTAATCAGAATATGAATTCCTATGGTCAGTTTGTTGAAAAATGTTATAAAACTTAAGACATGAGGAAAAAGTAAAAACATTATATTTCTTAACCACAAAACCTTATATGAATAAACGTAAAATATTAAAGTAACCAATATCAAGGGATAAAATTAAATGAAAGTTTTATTCTTTGGTTTTCTGAATCAAGCCAAGAGAAATTTCATTATTTACCAACTTAATTTTGAGGAAATACAACTTTGATAAATCAGGAATAATAAACTTGCTGACAGAATAAAGTACAAATAATTGATGAGAATCAATTCTTCATAAAATTTTAAGCAGTTAAACATTAAAAAATATAGACACTTAAACTCAGCCCGAAAAAAAAATACCATACCACACATAAAATAAAATGCAGGTTTGTGCGTGTATATGAAATATATAAGCCTATATATTTAAATATACAACATCTGATTACTGATGATGCAAATTTATAAATACTTCATGCAGTACAATCAGATTTTAGTGATCTTTTATGATAAAACAGGAAGAAAATAAAGTTCAAACTGCATTTCGTAATAATTAGGTATCTGTGATTATGAAAGATCATTAAGGAAACACAGTAAAGGGGCTGCAAACATGAATGCATTGCACAGATTTTACAAGCCGAAGAAAGGAAAAGCAGCTCCAACACCATTCTGACAGGCAGAACTGCCAAACAACCTGAAATTGGAAACTGATCCTTCAAGAGAAAAATTCCCTTACTAACATCTCACAACTATTTTAAAATGTGAAAGAGAAATATCAGTAAGAAGTCATTTTTATCTATTTTTTATTAAATATCTATGGGAATCAAACATTTAGAGCTCTATAAAATTTTTCTTGAGGATCAGCACAAATTTCTTGTGCTAAAGAGATAAAGATAAGCTTTTTTTTTTTTTTAAAAAAAGTAGGTTTTGCCAATGCATTGTGAATCTATCATACTGTAGGTCCCATCATTATGACTGAAATAAGTGGTAAAAATTCAGATAAGGATATTTATATGATATCCTAAAATAATCTTAACTCGATTAAAAAAATCTATGAACTTCAAAGTGACTTCATAAACTAAATAAACAAAATTTGTTTGAAAATATATTACCTACTATTACTGGAGTTAGAAATAAATTTTTATTAATCTTTTAGAAGCTAAGTATTACTCTATAGGTGACTTAAGGTTTAGAAACAGGTTTTGTGTACTAAACTGTATTTACTACAGCATTTTGAATATATAAAGCATCAGTTATTAACAAATTGGCTATAAGAAAAATTAGGAAAGGCAATTCAAAAATTACAGTCAATGCTAGAATTATTCTACTATCCTAAGACAAATGAAAATCAAATAATAAAACATTAATAATAGGTAGCCACAAGTACATTTAAGAGTTACATTATTAGTCCTTGTTAATTTTCAATAGTGTCCATATTCGTAGACATATCAAGCTACATATCAAGAACAGAGATTTAAAAAAACATTCAGTTAAGCGGTTAAAAAAAAGTGTTCATGGAACATGTGTGGACCTACAGTAATAATTAGTGTTGCAGAAGCTAATGAGGCTTTAAGCAAAACTGAAACATGAATACCATGCATGAATACTGAACTCACCTGACACAGGTGCAAAACCATTCTCTAGGAGCAGAGATGCATGCACAAAAGTAAGAATATGATTGCAAGTAATAGACTTCAACAAAATTAAAACAGAACACTAAACTTCAAAATGACAAAAAAAAAAGACAACATGGTGAGGTTACTGGGATGAAAATATGAAAATAACTTGCTAGGTCTCACCTCTCTTTTGGCCAACAGGACATTAGGAACAATGTGTGGCAGGCAGCGACCCAGCATCAACATAACGTTTTTCTCACTGTCTGCAATCCGAGACACCTAGAGATGAAACACAACAACAACAACAAAAAAGAATAAACAGAAGTGTCAGACATCCATGCATGATGGCACAGAGATTTCCTGCTTAGATCCTGTTATCTCTGTGGCAAACACACATCCAAAGGACAAGCTAATAACAAAAACCCAGTGCCCAAATAGGATAAACATTGCAGTTAGCCATATGCCTGCAGGACATTTGAAAACACCAGAAGGGCAAGGGAGAAGAGAAGGAGAGCTGATCTGGTTTGACTTTTGGAAACAAAGAGGAATAACTCAGAACTTAGAGAGCTTCAGGGTTTTTTCCTCTTGTCCTTGGAAGGATGTTCAAAAAGCTATGATCTCTGCCTAAGGTGGTAAACTGCAAAATGGCTTTAAAGGCCCAAGTAGGCTGTCTTACACTGAAGACTTCCAGAATCCACCAGAACTATCCTGTAGGCTTTTCCATTTTTCCAGTGATACATGGAACAGAAGCTCATGAGAGGCCCAGTGAAATTCAGCACAAAGCAGAAAGGGAGGAATGAGTATAAGATGGGGAGAGGGAGGGCAGTAGGAGGAAGGAATCTTTTCAAGACGTTTCTACAACAACCATGAAGCACTTGGGGAGATCTGAGCTGACAAAATCAGCAAAGACCACCACTCTGAATGAAGTAACGGAATCCAAAAATAACGAACCCAACCAATGATGAATCAGCTAAATTTGATAAAAGAAAAAAACCCATATGTTAGTAGACATTACAAATTAAACTGCAAAGGACACTTTAATATTAAGTCAAGTTTCAATCCAAAGAACAGAAAAGATTCCCTTTTTTAAATGTTTAGAATTTTAGGAATTATTTTTTAGAACACTATTTCAGCTGTCACAGCTCTCTTTGGGATGCGGTATGAAAAAGAAAAAAGCAATGTTTGAGAAAGTTTCCAAATATCTGGTATTAATTTACCTCTGATCCTAAACGACTATCAGCTGACATTCGACAAAAGGAGAGCAGTGCTTGGTGGAAAGCAGGAGACAATTTTCTAGAAAAAAATATTGCAGGAAAAGGGGCAATGTAGAGTTACTACAGACATTTAAGGAGAAAGTAAGTTGCATGGTGTTAATTCCCATCCTTACATCAACCCTATCCCACAAAGAACCAAATTTCTTGGCCACCACATTTCCTAGAAGTGTGCTAAGTGGATCAACAGTATCACTGTCTTAAAATAGCTTGATGTTATGAATATTGATGGATCAGACCTGAAGCAATATAACAGGTCGACAACTGTGGCAAATTCTAAAATGACTCCCTACCACCCCCCGCCCCAATTCCCTCTGGTCACAGAAAGACAAATAGAGTACAAAGTTTAATCTGGTGTGCTGCTAAGAGAAATGAACATGTTTTGGATAGACATATGTAAAATGATAATAACTCACAAAAATAGCAAAAATTAAAAAAAAGTAAATTCATGGTATATTTCAGACAAGGATTTTTTTTGTGATTAAACACATTATCTTATTTATGGTCCTAAAGGCCATTAAAACATACATCTCTACCTAATATTTCTAAAATTATAACTATGCATTTTATGTGCTCAATCCACAAAGAGCTGATAGAACGTTACATAAAGATTATTTGGTACACAAACATAAGCAGCACTCAATAATTCCTGTGACTAGGGTGAAGCAGTTTGAGCCTGTTTAGCTATTATTTCTTCCATAATCTTTCAGGGCAAGAAAACAGTCCATTCAGTTTAACCCAATATAAACACCTCCAATCAGTTTCTCTTTTAATCGCGAGTAATAGCAAATCTTGTATAATCTAACCATCTCTATACGGTGCTGGGAATCTACCAATTTCTTTCACATACAGACCAGGCCTCAATCATGTATTTGGATTCTTCCAATAAACATATTTCATTTGCCTCCTCTTCCAGACTTGCGGCTCTCTAATTACCTCTTCCCTGACTATGTTCTGTCTAAAGCCTAGATTTCCTTCATTTCTCAGCTCTCTACAATGAATCAACTAAGTTTAGGTGACCATGTCTTTGCTTAATTCTCCAACTTCTTATCCTACTATTCTTCTGACTTCATTCTTTACTTAAATCTTAATAAATTCATTTTAGTTCTCCAAACAGAAATGCTGCTGTTCTCCATTAGGGTGCTCTGATAATTAGTTATGCAGTTGCAAGACCTCAGGGTAGATGACACTTCTTCCACGAAACTTTTCTTCCAAACATGACTATCTGATAAAGCGACTGTGTTCCTACAGTTGAATTTCTCTTAAATAACTAATTTTCAGGCTTCATTATAATTTTCTGATCCATTTCCTCATACTGTAAGATTTGTGATGGAAGAGATTACCGCATGTTTTACTTATCAGAACATTCCTTGCATAACACTGCCTGGAAGAAAGTTTAAATTTAAATTAATAGCTTAGCAACTTAACAATCACCTACCTTGACAGAGTAGATTTGAAGAAGAAAAGGAGAGAGAAGCTATGAACAGCTCGGCAAAAATATTCACAGCACAGACACATGAACTATGGGTGTAAGAACAGAGCTAAGGCAAAACCTAGCCTCATTCATTGTTACTTCCTTGTTTTGTCACTACTGGAAAGGGGGACACACCATATAGCAATGTTGAGGGGTGCCATCAGGAATTGAACTGAGGGTCTCACCCATGCCAGGCACTTACACCATTATTTCAGCCACATTTCTGACCTGGTTTAAATTCTCTTTGAGATCATTTAACTTAGTAATTATTTTGTCCTTTCACCCCCTCCTTTTTGTGCCACGCAACATCAATGTCAAACATTAAAGAAAAAAACAGTACTACAAAAGAGGCTTGAATAAGAACCAAAACTCTTGTAGTTTGACAATGTACTTAATGGACAAGACACATTTACCTCGAGGCTGCATTCTTACCTATTGGGTTTATCAAAATGGACTGGTGGTTTACTTGACGGTGAGGAGGAGGGCGTTCCTTCCCTTTCTCTCCTGGGAAAAGAGTTTGGAAAGTTCTCTTTAGGTACAGTGGAATCCACTTCATCTGGCTGTGAAAGATGGATATCCTTGTTTTTTCCCCGGTCTGAACTATTTACAACTGGATTCTGTTCACTGTCTTCAGAGTCTTCGTGGAGAGACTTATGTACAGAAGGACGGGCAGAGTCACAAACTACTGGTGCTGCAAAGTGCTCATTTTTGAAGAAGTCCATTTCGCTGTAGAAAGATGAAGAAATTTTAGGGAATAAATGCATTTTGAAAAACTGTTGTGATGCCAAAACTTCGTAATAGAGTACAATAGATTTCAAGCTATTGAAAATCTACAGCATATCAGATTCGGCAGTTGGTTCATCTCTTTAAAAAACTATTCTTTTCTATATACACAGATACTTTGTATACCTAAAAATTTGGATATAAACTTGTAGCAATAAAGCAGAAAAATGGCTTCAAAAATTTTTGCTTTGGGGCTGGAGCAATAGTACAGTGGGTAGGGTGTTTGCCTTGTATGGGGCTGACCCGGATTCAATCCCTGGCATCCCATATGGTTCCCCAAGTAACACCAGGAGTAATGCCTGAGTGCAGAGTGAGGAGTAACCCCTGAGCATCAATGGGTGTGACCCAAAAAGCCAAAAAAAAAAAAATAATAATTTTTTTTTTTTTGCTTTGGATTAGTACTTTATTTTCTTCATTTGTATATTAAACATATAAAGCCTCTGGAAGGCATGCATTCAGAATTGGAAAGTAAAAAAAAAAATTGGGGGATTGGGGTTGGACCACACTTACGGGTGCTTGATGCTCAGGGAACCATACGGGGGGTTGGGGATTAAACATGGGTCTACTGCATGCAAGGCAAGTACCCTACTTGCTGTACTACTGCTTCAGCCCAGAGAGCAAATAAATTTTACCATAACAACTGAACTGTTTATGTGGTATACATTTAACAACTATGAGTTTTAGAGAAATAATTAAGCACTAACCTTTCAAGTCTTCTGATTTGCTCCATCAAAGACCATTTTTCACTATTTAATAAAGTAATTTTATCTTCCAATTTCTGTATTAGCAAAGAGCTCTAAAATCAAAATGACAGAAAAACAGAAACTTAAGATCTCACAGCACGCCTCTATCTAATTTAAGTGACTTGGCTGGATTGCACTGGTGAAATTTTAGTATCTCTCACCTCTACAGCCTGAGGAGTTTCCAGGTTCGGAGGAAGGCTGCCCACAATTGGTGTCAGTGCTTCTAATTCATCTTCTTCTACTCCACTGGCCACATCGACAAGGTCTTTTCTGGTCACTTGATGATTTCCAAAATCTCGGTAGAGTTGCAATAAATCTGGAGGTTTTGGAATGTTTAATCCTACATCATCCCATAGTTCAAAATCCTTAAAGAGCAAAGATAAAAATACATAAAACATCTATGAGGCAATTTTACCTGCATTTTTAATTTTAATTTTATTCTTTATTGCTAATACCTTGAAAACCCACCAGTTTTCATGTTGTTATGTCAAAATGTATATACTGAATCTTAGTTCATATCTCCTACTGTTCATAACTAATAATAATTTATAGCCTGATGGCATAAATTTGCTTTTCCTTTGTTATTCCAACCTCAAGATTTAATAATATGTACTACATAAATAATTTAATCTGCTTACCTTCCAGCTGTACTTGTTTGTATATAATTTACAGTATTAAAAATGCTTCTGGCAATTTCTAGAAACCAAAGAATTGCTGTTCTATTTGTCTCAAAAAATATTTTAATTCAATCCTATTCAATTTCATGCTTTTTGCTATTTTTTGGATTTTCTGCAGTGCCAGGGATCAAATCCACATATATAGCTCTACCATATGAACTATATCCCTGACCCTACAAACCATACAAGATATTACTAAAATACAAAAGGCATAATGCTCAGTGCAGAACAATACAGAATGATGAACAATAATGTAGAATGTTCAAGCATTCTTTAGTCAAAGATTATTTTGTTTTTTTAATTTGATATTTGGGGGCTGGTAATGATAGGACGGTGGATAGGAGATCTGCCTTGCACACGTCAAGAGAGCCCACCAGGGCTAATTACTGAGTAGAGTGCCAGGAGTAACCCTGAGCACTGCAGGGGTGGGTCTCGTCATAGTCCTGTAAACATTTTTGGGAGGGGGGGCTGGAGCGATAACACAGCGGGTAGGGTGTTTGCCTTGCATGTGGCCGACCCGGGTTCAATTCCCAGCATTCCATATGGTCCCCCAAGCACCGCCTGGAGTAATTCCTGAGTGAAGAGCCAGGAGTAACCCTCGTGCATCACTGGGTATGACCCAAAAAGCAAAAACAAACAAAAAACATTTTTTTGGTTTGTAGACCACATAGACCACAGATGGCTGTGCTTGGGGCTTACTCCTGGCTCTGTGTTCAGGGATCATTCCTGGCTGGGCCCATGGGATCAGATGAGGTGTGAAGACTGCACCCAAGCCATGCAAGACAAGCACCCTACTTGCTGTACTATTTCTCCAGCCCTGTGGCTAGGTTGAAGTGTACTGGTGACAAGCAAATTCTTATAATTTTATCTGCCTTTAATGCATCAAGATTTAGTAATAATTTGCTATCTCATAACTTCCGTATGAAACTCTTTGAGAAACTATGGCATGTTAATCTGAATGTTCTAAATGTGACACTTGTAATCCTTTCAGGGCTTACTTCAATCATTACTTTTCACAAGCATAATTACAAGCATATGATAGTAAATAAAAGTGGGAGCTTTCAAAAATATCATATTCAAATATGCAGTCCACATTCGTCTCCACATATTTTATAAATTAATTTGAAACTGGGGCTGGAGTGATGGAACAATGGGTAGGGTGCTTGCCTCGCATGTGGCTGACCTTGACACCTGGACGATTCCCCAGCACCAGAGGTGGTGCCCCGAGCCCAGGAGTGGTCCCTAAGTGGAGAGCCAGGAGTAAGCCCTGAGCACAGCCAGGGGTGGCCTCCAAGCAAAAACAAAAAGTTGAAGCTTAATCTCAATATCTGTAAAATGAGTACAGTTCTTCTGAGCATTTTAAAGGGTCAAATAAAATACACAATAAGGTTCAAGGGGCTGGAGAGAAAATACAGCAGGTAAAGATACTTACCCTGCATGCACCCAACCTGGGTTCAATCCCCAGCACCCCATATGGTTACCCAAGTCTGGCCAGAAGTTATCCCTGAGCACAGCTGGGTACGACCCAAAACCCAAAACGAGGAAACCAAAACAAAACAACCCAGTATAAGTTCTTTTTTTTTTTTTTAAATTATTTTTGCTTTTTGAGTCACGCCTGGCGATGCACAGGGGTCACTCCTGGCTCTGCACTCAGGAATTACTCCCCGTGGTGCTGGGTGACCATATGGGATGCTGGGAATGGAACCTGGGTTGGTCGTGTGCAAGGCAAACCCCTACCCACTGTGCTATTGTTCCAACCCCAAAATTGTTGTTTTTTTTTGTTTGTTTCTTTTTTGGGTCATACCCGGCAATGCACAGGGGTTACTCCTGGCTCTGCACTCAGGAATTACTCCTGGCGGAGCTCAGGGGACCATATGGGATGCTGGGAATCGACCTAGGTCGGCCGCGTGCAAGGCAAACGCCCTACCTGCTGTGCTGTTGCTCCAGCCTCCCAGTTTAAGTTCTTAACGCAAAGCTCAGTATTTAGCAACTAAACCTATTTGAATTAAAAAAAAAAAATTACTGTTAGCACAGTGGTAGGGCGTTTGCCTTGTATGCAGCTAGCCCTGCCGAGCCAGACTTGATTCTTTCACCCCTCTCAGAGAGCCTGGCAAGCTACCTAGAGTATCTCACCTGCGCGGCAACGCCTGGCCAGCTACCCGAGACGTATTCAATATGCCAAACACAGTAACAAGAAGTCTCAAAATGGAGAGGTTACTGGGCCTGCTCAAGCATATTGATGAACAATGGGAGGACAGTGTTTGACAAACATATCCATCTTGTATTTGTAAGTCACCACTTAGAGGTTTCCATCAGCAGAGTATGACAACAATAAAAAGGCATAACCTAAATGGCCATGGGGAAATCAATCAAAGAAGAACTCAGGAAAGAGGCCAGAGAGGCAGTAAGAGGGAGTAACGCTTGCATTCGGGCAGCTGACCCAGGTTCTATAGTAGTCTCCTGAGACCCTTCAGTAGTGAACTGAGTACAAAGCCAGAAAGAAGTGAGCCCTGAACATGCCAGGTGTGGCCCAAGAACTGAAAAAAAGAATTTGGGGAAAGGAGTGAATTTCTTGAGACAGGAATAAGAAAAGGATTTTAGAAGAAATGCCTTGTGGACTCTCTCGGAGAGGGCTCTGCATTAATAAGGCACACAGCAACAAGTGATTAGAAATTAATTATTTTAGTGACAAGGGGAAAAGTAAGTAAAATTCCCAAGCTCTGAAGAACTCATATATGCAGGGAGATGCAAAACCTTCTGTTTCACAAGTTTACAATGAGTAGTTAAGATATAACACTGGTGATGTAGAAGTTAAAAAATATGTTGAAAATACTTATGAATTCAATTAAGGAGTTAAAGAAGCAGCAGATGGCTGATGTGACAAGTTGGTTAGGAAGGAAGGCACGTTCATAAGGTGAGAAATAGTCATAATGCTAAGACTGTGAGCAGGCGCAGAGGGTGACAGTGCAGACAGGTTATCTCTTCAGTGGGGTATCAATGATGCTTGAAGCTAGGGAACTCCTGGAAATAGATTCTGGGATGCACTAGTACTGACTTGGAAATAGGAAATAGGGTCTTTAGCAAAGATCTCTGATAAAAATCAGATAAGAAGTTGACAAGTGTGGGGTAATATAGTGGGTAGGGCGCTTGCCTTGCACATGGCCAACCCAGGTTTGATCCCTGGCACCCCATATGGTCCCCTGAGCACTGCCAGAAGTGATTCCTGAGTGCAGAGTCAGCAGTAAGTCCTAACCATTGGAGGGTGTGACACAAGAAATGGTCCAAAAAAAAAAAGTTGACAATAAAGAAATCTTATTACATAAAAGTTCTAGATAACAGGATCAGAAGAGTAGGAAGTAAGTCAATCACGAAAGAACTGATACGAAGAAGGCAAAGATAATGATTGCATGCCAATAAAAAAAAAATTAAAAAAACGTCCAAAAAACCTTTATTGGGTGTTTATGATACACACACATAGAAGCGAAGACTTTCAGCTTAAGAAATTCGTAATCTGATCAGGAAGACAAAAATCAATTTCATGCAATAAGTGTTATTTAGGAAACAAATGGGGAAATATTCTAGAAAATAAAAGTTTAAAAGAAAGCAGTACATTTGTAAACTGGTTTCAGACAGATTGAAGTTAGAACTAAATTGAAATTAGAACTAAAATGACGCTTAATGCTTAAAGAACAGGTTATTGATGCACCAAATTAAAAAGAAAAAAAATCAATCACCCGTTCTTGGACATTTAAGTTATTTCACAGATTTTAACTATTACCAAGCTGCCATGATCATCGTGTAGGAGCGTTTATACAATCATGTGCTTTCTAAAAGCAAAATGACAAAGTGAGTTTCTTTTCTGTCTTTTGTACCACATTCAACAGTGCTCAAGGAATACTCCTAGAACTGTGCTCAAGGAACACTCCTGGAGGGACTGGGGGACCAGATGGGTGTCAGAGATTAAACTTGAGTTGGCCAGGTGCAAGGCAAGTGCTTTGCCCATTGTACTATCACTCCAGCCCCAAACTTATTCATAATTTTTTTGGTAACCTAAAAACACACTTTAAGAGCTGGGGAGATTGTACAGGGATGAGAACGCTTGCCTGGCATGAGACTGACCCCTTGCTGATTCACTGCAACAGGTGGTATGGTCTCTTCAGCACCACCAACAGCGACCCTGAGCACAGAATCCCAAGAACTATCATGTATACCCCAGTCCCAAATCAAAAAAATGAAACGTGCTTTATATATATTCCTGAGCTCCTCTTAAATATTAAGACTTGCTTTATCACACAAAATATTATCCATTTTTGGTAAATGATCCACATGTATTTGAAAATATTTTGGAAGGGTAGACCATTTACACTTGAAGGAGGTCATATTTTTCCTGTGACTGGTTAGCTGTTAGGTAAACAGTATGTTAATGCACGTACAATCGAGGCATATATTTTTGGGGAGGCCGCACCCAGTGATGCTTTAGAGTGGCTTTCATTAATGCCAGGGGAAATATGTGGTGCCAGGATGGAACCAGCAGGCAAAGTATGGGGCACACGCTTTGTCCACTGCCTGCTATCTTTCAAAGAGGTCAGTCAAAGCATCACTTCATAAAGAACACCACAGGCGGTTTCTGCCGAATTCACAACAATAACTGAAGGAGTAATCAAACTCGATTTTTGTTAAACAATCCACTAGATATTTAGGTATCAATGTAAGATACCTAATTGCAAACAATGACTTCCTGATTTCCACATAATAAACTCTTCTCGAGTATTTAAAAATCCTACTAAGTGGCACTGTAGCACTGTCCTCCCATTGTTCATTGATTTGCTCGAGCGGGCACCAGTAACATCTCACAACAAATTGTGAGACTTTGTTGTTACTGTGTCTGGCATATCGAATACGTCACGGGGAGCTTGCCAGGCTCTGCCGTGCGGGCGGGATACTCTTGGCAGCTTGCCGGGCTCTCCGAGAGGGGTGGAGGAATGGAAGCCAGGTCGGTCACATGCAAGGCAAACGCCCTGCCCGCTGCGCTATCGCTCCAGCCTATCCCACCAAGTAAATGCATTAAAGTGAAGCAAACACACAAAAACAAAGTGTGTTTCACAATATATATCTTATCACAAATCACAAATCATCCTTTTATTCGTCGATTGCCTCGAGCAGGCCCCAGTAACGTCTCCTTCATCCTAGCCCTGAGATTATATTCAAGGCTCTTTAGGAGAATGAGACCCATCATTGTTACTGGTATTTGGCATATTGGGTACGCCACGGGGAGTTTGCCAGACTCTGCCGTTATATATCCTATATAACTAGATTATGTCGTTAATGACAACGTGTAAAAGTTACCTTAAAAGAAAAATAGGTCTGTAAGGTAGACAGAAGAAATCTATAAATTAATAAAATACTAAACTAGTGAGACAAGGAAATACTGTGTTTGGTAATTTGCAATACAAGATTTTTCTGTACACACAACCTTTGAAAAATCTTAAAGAAATGAGACAAAATAGAAAATAATTTAAAAAAGCAATAATTTTAAAGAAATAGTAACAATACCTGATCATCATTTTCATCTGAAAAGGTTATTGATGTAAGCTTATAGTTATTCTTCAATAAAAATTCATTGACTAAGAAGTTTAGAGCTCTCTTTTCAAGAGGTTTGATTGGCTCCTGGAGGCGAAAGGAAAGACAAAGCATCATCAATTTCCTCCAACCATATTTGAGCTACGCAGACGTGAACGACACTCCTCGACGTGCTATTTACCCACCTGAATTTCAGGACTTGATTTATAATTTTTTCGTTCCTGTAAAGGAACTTCATGTTCTGGTGGGGGAAAATAGAAATATTTTACTATTTCACATTTGAGAATAGATCAGCTACTTCTACATTGTCAAAGTAAAAATAGTCTCAAGAAAGTTTTATGTACACCACCTGCAGCCTTTGTCAGGTTGGCTCGGAGGGCCTGAATGGTCTCCTTGGCTTTCCGTAGTTCAAACTCCAGGACTGGACAGGGATTTGGAATAAACACACACAGGCATCCAACCAAGAAAAGGGAAACAAAAATAAAAAAAATAAAAAGCAAGGATGGGTATGAAAAAAAAATACAATTTGTATTGAAAACAGAAAGCATGCAATCTTTATGAAACTTGTGAACGCATGCAGCAGAGTTGATTTGCAAGCAAACTGGTGAATGTTTTCCATAGTTTTAGAAGTCAGGGGATTAGTGCTCAGGTTCCAGCTGTCTGACAAGGAATACTTCTATTTAAACATACAATCTATGGCAAACTGTAATTTCGGTAAACAAAAATATCAGCAATCGAGATACTTCTGCTCATTCTGCCTAGGTAAAAAAATGAAATGGGATATTTTCAGGTGACATCATTTCAGGGGAAAAAGACAAATCAGATGAAGTCTGAGAAGAACTACATTAAAAAAGATCTCAAGATATTTTAAAAAAGGTAATTCAGAATGTATTGCCTAGAATAATATTATAATCAATATATAATAATGTTAGTAAATACATTCCAATACTAAAATCTTTACGGAAAATGGTTTAAATATTAACAAATGTTGGGAGGTGTGTAGTTTTTTGGTATATATGTTTTCTACAATTGTAGATCTGTTGGTAAGTAAATTATTTAATTAAATAACAAATTAAAATGCTTCCTCATACATTAGATTTAACTCTAAAATTTATCTTAACAGGGATATTTAGTGTTAAATGTATGGAAAAAAACATTTCCATGAAGCAACTTTGGGAAAATAAAGTGATCCTTATCATCACAATTAAAAAAATTATAGTCTGTACATAGTTTTGCATAAAAACTAGAAAAATTTAATTAAAAAATTTTAAGATGCATTTTTTCTGATTAGTAAACAAAAAAGATGGCAAATGAGATGCACCAAAGACAACAAAGCTACAAAAATATATGGAAAAATTCGGATTCACTCAGTTTGCACAGTCTCGGTAAAAACTTTAAGATGTAACTACATCACATCGAGTACATGAAGGCCAATTATTTTGATGCACAGAATTTCACTGCAGCAAGATGGAAGCACAACTAAACTCAGATGACATGTATGCTACAATTTCTTTTTTGGTAGTCAGCAATGCTGATCTGCAAACATTTCTGTGCAATTAAGTTCAATTATTTTCTCTAAAAGTTAACTTCTAGAAACTCCTGAGTTTGTATTTAAAGTCAAACTTTTCATACTCCGAATAAGACAATAATGTTTTTTAAACTCCAAAACTCTAATTTAAAAATACTAAATAGTAAAATACAGTAATACGAATATGTATATTATGCTTTCAGTATCACTTACAATTTACTATGATTCATTACAGAACAATTGCAGATCAGAAATGCCCTGCACCAGAATGATAAAAATATGAAAAAAATAAATGGGAAAAAATTGATTAAAACATAAATTGTGAAAAACTCAAATTCAGTTAGTGACCAAGAGCAAAACACTGAATGATCAAGGCACAGAAAGCCAGAAAAACCCATGTCAGACGGCAAGAATTTATATTTTTATGCACATCGACAAATACATTGCCAATTATTACCAATGCTTTGAAAATAGCGCCTATCAAAATGAATTCACTCTGCTGCATGTTTCTTTATATACAATATAGACTTAAAAATTTAAATCTTTGAAGCTATAGCACATTTCTATAAAACTTATTGTATGATCAAAGAACTGTATTTATGTGAGAATGAGAAAGGACTAAAAGGCAGTACTTTATTTACAGAAATATTAATTTATATTTTCTTTAGTAAAAATATAAAAGTCCAAAATCTATTATGTAAAGAAAAACAATGTATTGAACAATATAAAGGTATTTTTCAAATATTCTAATTTTTCCTTAAAATATTGCAGGGTCTGTTTTTTAAAATAATGCAGGAACCAACTACCAGCTATTCATTCACTATTCCAATAATCTTCAATTAGTACAACTTTCCCAAATACAATTTTTTGGAAAATAAAGTAATTGCAAAGATACATATTCTCGGTCAGCACAGTACAATTTTGCCAAAATAAAGGGATTCAGTCAGTACAGATTTAGCAAAATTGCTTTTTTCCTAACCAGGGTTAGATAACACTATCCCAGAGTGCACTATACTAGACCCTAGAGTATCCCAGGGCATATTATACTAGAGAGCTCAGATATTTTGCTCTCATAACTTCGGGGATATTCAAATGACCATGCAGAGACACGAAAAGTGAAGTATTTTATCTAGAAACAGAAAAAAAAATCCTTTGTTGACCTACTCACACATCACCAATATCACCTTGAGGTATTCCACAGTCTAAGTTTATTTTGACACAAAACACAAAATATTTTATATAATAGCACTACTATGAGTCAGAAATTTTTTGTTTCTATTTCTGTTCACTATTGAGAGTCTATATCAACAGGTCTAACCCAAGGGCCATGACATTTCAAAAGAAAGGGGCCAGAGAAAACTGGGGAAGGTGCTTGCCTTGCAGGCACTTGACCTAAATTCAATCCCTGGCACCCACTGGGTGGGTCTTCCAGAAAGCATAAAATTAACAAAAAACCAGAAACACAAAACGATTTTTTGTTAAGTGAGAATTTCCAGTATTCTCTTGAATGTAAGGTGATTTAACTTAGAGTAAAACACTATTTCCCCATCTTTAATATTTCAATTCACTGTATCACTGTCATCCCGTTGCTCATCCATTTCCTCGAGCAGGCACCAGTAAAGTCTCCATTCGTCCTAGCCCTGAGATTTTGGCAAGTGCCACATTGGAGGCTCTTTCAGGGTCAGGGGAATGAGACCCATCATTGTTACTGGGCTTTGGCACATCGAATACGCCACCGGGAGCTTGCCGGACTCTGCCGTGAATATTTCAATTAATCCCAAGAATAACCCTAGGTAAAGGAAAATTCTTTTGAGGAAGAGAAAATCTATTCCAAAAGTAATACAAAAACCCTAAGATGGTATCATCACCATCCCTCACTGGGTTTAGAGAATTTCTTCTGTATATCACATACTTCAGAAATGTACTGTATTTATATGCATTACTTAGTAAACAGAAACAAACAAACCAAAGCAAAGTGCACTCTCCATAGTACATAATCATTTAGTTATCTATATCTATCTGGTGTCAGTATTCATTCATTCATTCATCATCCTGTTATTTGTCGATTGCCTCGAGCAGGCCCCAGTAACGTCTCTTTCATCCTAGCCCTGAGATTATATTCAAGGCTCTTTAGGAGAATGAGACCCATCATTGTTACTGGTATTTGGCATATTTGGTACGCCACGGGGAGTTTGCCAGACTCTGGCCTGTGGGCAGGCTACATTCGATAGCCTGCAAGTTTGTCCAAAGTAGGAATGAGATAATAAGATGTCATAAAAAGATGTCCTGATAAGATGTCGTGCGGCCGCAAATGCGGCCGCGCGGTTAAGGAGCTGGATTTTATAGTCTCTGAGACTCAGAGGTGTCAGTATAATTTCTAAAATTAAATCTCCAATTCTTCCTACAGTCTCTCTCCATCAATGGTATCACCACTTATGCAGTTGTCTATATAGGAAGCCCAGAGCTCATTCTCTTATCCCTGTCCTTCTGTCCCCATCAATTAACTCTCTAAACCGTACATACAGAGTTCAAGTCACCCAAACAACCATTAATCTCAATGGTCTTTTTTCAACTGTTCCAGTTTAGAACATTGACTTATAATGACTACACCTATCCACAACCTTATTAAGGGTGCTAAAGTTCTATAGAAAAAAGTCAAATTTCCAAATATATCTTTTCAAATTTTTTATTTTTAATTTTTGCCTTTCCTCTATCAATCTAACATCATGGAATACACATAGAAAATGTTGATCTGGGGCTAGAGTGATAGTACAGCAGATAGGGTTTTGTCTTGCATGCAGCCGACCTGGGTTTAATCCCCGGCATCCCATATGGTCCCCCAAGCTTACCAGGAGTGATCCTTAAGCACAGAGTCAGGAGTAAGCCCTGAACACCATCAAAAGCCATTAAAAAAAACCTACTCAGAAGTAATGAATAACGACTTTTAATTTTAGCTTAAATATAACAACCCAACATAATGGTGTTGTTTTTTACTCTGTCTATTTTAATTTTATGATAATAAATGCAGTGAAATCTATTTTTAAAATGCAACCTATCTTTTTTAGAGACTTCTTGTAGCATTTATCTTATCTTAGACCATAGAAAAAAAATAAGATTTGTTAGTGGCAAAATCAGTAAGACATAAGCACTATTAGGAGGTTCTGGGGAGAAATAGTATAACAAGGCAATAGGCTTATTTAATTCTGGTAAAACTGGGTACTATAGTGAGGTCAAAGCTAAAAAATGGCCACACACTACAACAGCTGTTATTTATGCAAGAGATATGGCCAGGCAATATTCTGAATGTTATTTTAGAACCTGTTTGCTTGTGCAAATTTTATTAAGAATCCTTGCATCTATCTTTTTGACTGTTGTTCTCAGAACAGCACAAGTTCTGGTATATACAGCACAGTTACTCAACAACTGTTGAGTAAGTTATTGAATTTATTGAATGAAAAGGGATTCCAGTACTTGATGCTATACATAATAAATCTGAAATAAGAGTGATTCTCACAGCATTTGTTAGAAGGCACAATTCTCACAGTTCTCTAGATCCCAACATGAAAGTGAAATTGTGTGGACTGAAGAAACAGCTCACGGGGCTAGAAACACCGAGTTCGACTGCTGGCACTGGACATTTTTCTTTTTTCTCTGTCCTGCTGCACCCCAGCACCACTGCGTTCCCAAGCCCAGCCCTGACCCTTCCACCACACAGCAGTTGAGTGGTGCTGGGCGGGACGCCCAGGCTCCTGCATGCTCTGGGCGAAGTCTCCCCCCTACAAAAAATGCTAAGGCATAAACTAAAGAATATAGTAACAGGGAGAGAGAAGAGAATGGAACAATAAACATGAGGCAGGGATAAAAATGGCTTCAAAATTAACTAGGCTCTTACC